CCTTGCCCCCCTTGAAGCATTTCGCCTAGCCGAAACCTTCAAGCTGGGGCTTTTTTCGAAAAAAGTGGCACAGAAAGACCCCCCTTCCACGTCCCCCTTTTTCAGCGGCGCGCCCGCGAGCTCAAGTGTGGAGGCGAAACTTGATTATGAAAAACTCGGGCAAAGGGTAACAAGGATTTTTGGGGGAGTCTCATGTCCGCCAGCACTGCCATGCTTTCGTTCAAATAAATTCGGGCAGTTTTGGCAGCTTGCCACCTTCCAGCTACCATCAACTTGTCGAACGAACTGTGCTTGGTGAACCACCGTCGCCCCCCCCGCTACGTAACGAGTAGGGTCGAAACTCAAAAAGGGTCAACTGTAATGCACTGAGGCATACGCCAGGCTGAAGCTGATGAAACGAACATGGCATGTGGTTTTGCACTTTGCTTCCAGGCCCACAGCCACCGAAGGGCCACCGCTACCGTCAGGGTCACCGACTCAGCTGCTCCTACACGTTTCCCACTCTTCGTGAGCCCCAGACTAAGAACAGCTGGGGCATTTGCAGCTTTCATGAAAATGTGAGAGCTTCGTAGAGTCGTCAGCTCGCCAGTGCGAAGCATGCTATAAAAACCCACCAAGAGGGAAACACCGAATCCGAAATGGCCATGGAAAAAGCTCCAGCCGACCATCGCCTCAAGCGCGGCTTCCGTGAGGGGTGGTGCCCTGTTTGGCACTTCATTGACATTCCATGTCTTTAAAAGTCTCCAGGTCAGCTGGAGCTGGCCCTTTAACTTTGGGTCACTGTCCTGCAGGCCAGCTACCGTATCCGCAGCCAGGCACCGACCTTCACCCTCTGACCACAAATGCTCTATGTATTCAGCCAGGAGACCATCAAACAGCTCCCGTCGGCGGGGAATCTCGAGTGAGTTCTCTCGGAGAAAATCATAAAATTTGGTGCGAGCTGCTGCGTATCTACCACTAGTCTTACTGGACACGGTGAGACTTCGAAGTGTGCCTAATTCTTTCCTCTGCGACTGCCTTTGCTGCTTTGTCTGACCTTCAAGGACCTTTTTGCCTACCTTCCCCATCGGCGATGCACGGGCCGCCGGCTAGGCCGGTCAGCCGGGTTCTGCGAAGTATGTATGTAACCCCACAGGGGGTGAAGGTCAGCCGCCAGCAGCAGAGCATTGAGCCTCATGAGGACCGGTCGCAACTTTCGACTCGAGTTTCGACCCCGAGTCAGAGCATGTAGGCACACTGTCTGTAAGGTGCAGAAAACGTACACCCAACTTTTTCGACCTGCTCACCTTCCACTTGATACCCGTGAAGATTGCACGCAACTCCAGGAGATTTATGTGCTCTCCCGCCACCTTCCACTTCCAACCCGAGATTTCACGCCAATGCCAGAGGCGTCCAGGTATACTTGCACGAAGTCGGAAATATCGTGGAGCTGGGTCGCTTGCAGCATGGACCAAGAGGTCTTCGCCTTTGCTTGAAGCCAAGCCCAAACACTTGGCTACCAACCGCTGCTCTGCACCTGGTTCTGCTGCCGCCAGACGACCCTCATGGGGTGGTCTCATCAACAAAGAAGGAAACTCCCGTGCTTGACCAGGAGTGGTACAGTCAACAATGTCCTGCACTGTCATCTTAGGCCCCAATCCCAGAGGTTGAGTGAGCTGACTAATCAATACTGCAACGACACCAACATGCCAACTGTTGCCAACCATGGACATACGAGCGTCTTCATAGGCTTGGCCTTGCTGTTCGGCTTTCACCACGCAATGTTTAGTGTAATTGATGGGAAATCCCATACAGGCTTCCCGTTCCTGTGCCGACGGTCTCCTCCAGTTGCCTTTTTTGTCCCAGAGGCCGTGGCTGTCCCGATACTGGTACGGGGGAAACCTGTAGAAATCATCATACCAACGTTGCAGCTCATGTTCAGCACATTGCTCTACCCCCGCAGGCCTCCTGCCAGGAGTATCTCTCGGCCTCGAAGTGGTAAAGGTTGGCAAGTGACAGCCCTCACGCAAACTCCAGCCCGGGAGCAGCAGGGCCTTGCTATCCACCTGAGCTTCCAGTTCAGCCTTGTCGAAGGCTTCCCAGCCTTCAGCCTTGGCCGCGCGCACAAAGACATACCCTTGGCATCTATCCTATGGGGAGTTCTTTCAAAAGCCCTGCTCATAATAGCTCTGTCAGTGCTTGACATGGAAGCCACATTTTCAACAAGCTCATGTACCTGGGCCCAATAAAACTCCTTCCTCAGCAGTGCTGTGACCCGGGGTACTTCCTGGAACAAGCAGCTTCGCTCGTCTCTGAGCGCGCCCAAGCGACCTGCATTTAGTCCACTGACCCCCTGACAAGGGGGTCCGGCACCAACAAGGATCAGGCCTACGTTGCTATACTTCAGAGCCAGGGCCTTGATTTGCTCTTCACTGAACTCTCGGACATCCTCAAAGAACTCCGTGTCCGGGAAGAAGCTCTCCACCACACGCCTACACTTGTCATCTTTTTCGATGCTCACGTGACCGGCCATAGGCAACCCCAGGACATCGCACGCTACCCGCAAGGCGGCGATCCCGTCAAATAAACCCACGGACAACACCTGTACCAGGTCATGCTCTTCCGGAAGGTCACCCCGTGCCGGGCAACAGACTGCACTCATGCCGTAACTAGTTAACCCTTTGGATGCGCAGAGACCGCCTCCAAGGGTGGAAGCATCCGAGCAAGAAACTTCCCCATCCACCGGGGAACGGAACTCCATCTGGGCAAGCGGAGTCAACAGAATGAACCTGGCAATCTCAACCTTGACCTGGTAGGGGAGACCAAGGCGTACAACCGGGGCCTCACCCTCGAAGCGTCTCATGTGTTCGAACACCGCGTTCAAACACCCAAGCAATTGCCGACGGAACATCGCCAGGTAGACAAAGCCCCCGCATACCACCTGAAGTTCTCGCAATGTAGACTGCCCCCTCACCAGGAGCTCAAACCCAAGCTTGCAGTATTGGATGACCTTTTGTGGTTTGGGCATGGCAAAACCTGCCTCGCCATCCAGGAGAGCGCCCTGCATCTCTCCCACCGTCACTCTCTCTGCTGCCTTCTTGGGGTGTCGAGGTAGCCCATGTGCAACATACATGTCGCGAAGTGTTTCAACCTGAGGTTTCACCGTACCCTTTATCTGCCCCGCCAAGCTAGCATCCACACGTTCCAGGGCATCAAAATTGTCGAGATACACCCTGTACAACTCCGCCGAAGAGCTCATGACACGGTCCTTCCGTAGTTCACCTTCTGCGCCCACCGGGGGTTTGCCTGACATTGCTGACCACCGCACCACGTTGCGATGGATGTGTTGTGCAATGCTGACGGAGTTCAGGAACCCCATGGGCAACACCCGTGCAACCAACACGCAAGTCTGTCCATGAAGTTCCCGGGGAACCAACTCAGGTGGTACAGTCTTGTTGAACCCCATGTACTTCTTCCAGGCCGTTGGAATAGAGAATAGGTAGAAAAAGCACTTGATGTCTTCTGAAGATAGGAGAACGACTTCCCCCGACCCCAGGAGAAAACCACTAAGGCCAGAGACCGCAGGAAGAGTCCCCACGTCGCCTTGAAGGGGTTTACAGATTTGGTTGACTGGCACCAAATTCATAATAAGGCGTTGAGTCTCAACCCCTGCCTTGAACTCGCCCTTACCTACTGCAAACATTCCGTTGAGCAGTGGTGCTCCGTCGATGTGATGGAGCTGGGAGATGGGCCACACCTCACACACCTTCTTTTCGATCAATCCAGTGCAAACATCGTGCCATTCCCCTTCACTAATCATGACCCTTGGGGGCTTGACCCTCACCTGAGCGTCTGCTGGCATCAAATAACGCTCGAAATCATCAACGTAACCCTTCGTGCCCAAAGTGCAAAAATCCGTGAGTGGCAAACTTCCTACTCCTTCCGGAAGTGATTCACTCACAGCTGCCCATGTAACACTTTGAGCCAGTTTTACTTCTTCTCCACAATAGTCAACCTTGCGCCTCGAGAAAAAATCACTAAAAGACAACGAACACTCAGGTACCTCCCACATGTGATTGCGAACGACGAGAGCAGCTAGTCTTTTTTCCGCTAGCGATCGAACGCTGGTCTCAGGAGATGCTGCCGACGAAGTAGGGTCGTCCAGTGACGGCGTCAGGGAGCCTTCGAATCCAGCCAAATGATTGAGTGCCGCCATCGTGCCATTCACCAGTTCATCAAAACGGGGCAGGTGAGGGAAGTTCAACCTCGAGCCCCAGCCCTCCGTTCGGATCCGTAGTGGAAACGGTGGGCACTGAGCGCCATGGTCGAACTCCGTGTTGGAGCGTCGTGAATGTAGGTGCCCGTCCTGTCTCAACACCTCAACTGCCCTCTTGAAGATACCACGTATTGTAGAGTCCTCTGAAACATGATCTTCGCCAGGTTCAGCCTCCTCTGCAATCGGCTTTGCATCTCTTCCCGGAGAATTGGAAACTGTAAGGTCCAGCGGCTCACCCTCATTCAGCGTCGCCACCTTTCCAGAGCTATTGAATTCGCGACCCTGTTCATCACCTGCCGGGGTGAGATGGGCCAAGCTCATGCACTTCCCTTCCTTATACACACCAGGAGTCTCTACCGGGAGGGCACTCCCACCGTCCCGTGGACTCCCGATCATCTCATAGGTCACGACTTTTTCTTGCCGTCCCCCTTCTCCTTCTTGTTCTTGTCGAACTCGTTGGGCTTGTTCTCGCTCTTGCTTCCTTTCCACTTGCCTTTCTCTCCCTTTTCTTTTCCTTTTGACCTCTCCTCCCAAGGCCTGCTGGTCGACTTCTGCAAGACCTTCGCCTCGTGATTCGCAGCCTGGCCCGCCATCTGCACCTCGGATGAGGTTGCCAAACCCCCGCGGTCCAGGGGTAGCAACTCGAGTTGGCGAAGAAGATCTGGCCGCATGGACTTGCTCAACCCCTCCAAACTTTTCAGACGCTGGGTCATGACGTCCATCGCGCTGGCCACTCGACCCTCCAAGATGAGGTCGATGACTGCAGACCAATGCAAAGCTTATCGCGCCACTGGTGGCGCCATACTCGCCATGAGATGTTGCCGACAGTATTGACTTACTATTGGCCGCAGGCTCCGAGTCTCGGCTTCGTGGAGACCGGCGCCGAGTTGTAGAAGCATAACCCTTTGAGCCTCGAGTATCATCGTCGAGGTGAGGACGCCTGGGAAACGTCTCCAGATCCGCTGCGGCGCCGAAACCGGGAGAACAACTCTTCGGCCGGGCCCTCCTCCACTGTTGAGCTGTTCGTTGAAGAGTCGCTGGAGTTGGAGCTTGACGAACTCTTGCGGCCCCTGGCCTTGCGGCTCAGATGCTTGGCTTTCTTCCGGAGCTTCCGGCGTACCTCCTCCTTTGGATCCAGGCCTGTCGTAGCGAAAAGGGCTTCGAGGCTCTTGATAGGCGTCATGCGCTCCTTTGCATTCTTCTTCTTTTTCTTCTTCTTTTTGCTCGACGACTCCTTTTCTTCTTTGGGAGCCTCCCGCACCGCCTCCTCCGCGGCTGCTCCAGAGCCCGTGCCCACGCCTTTGCCACGCTCGGCCGCTTCCTTCCGGAGCACCTCCATCTCGTCTCTCTCGGCTTCCCGAACGCTGACCTCGGCATTCCTGCTCCATGGATAGTCTTCGAACTGGCACTTCTTGAGCCGTTGCGCATGAATCAGGCCCTCCAAACTTGGTGACTGCACGGTTCGTCGCAAAGGTGGATTTGCAACAGTTTTGAAGCCCGTCCTGACAGCAGTCGTAGTAGCTCTTCTGAAGTTGTTCCATGGGCCTTCACGGTCATCACAGTGCCATCGTCCCCGACCGCCAGGGACTTCATCTCTCCTATCACCTCCGCATCGTTGTCCCGAAAATAAAGCCCTTGTATGTATATCGCCGGCCAGGAGTTCAACTCCCGAATATTCACTTCTGAGGCCTTCTCCCAATCTGCTTCGGGAGGATCGGCACCGGCCGGCCTTCTCCTCACACTGGGCCGCTCTGGTGCCCTGGCTGGTCTCCTCAGGGCGCGCTTCGGCGCCATGTTGGGTCACGCCGCTTGTTGTCGTAAAAGTCGATGTTCCTCTGCACCTTCTTGAGGCCCCTGTTTCGTTTCTTGGGCTTGGATTTCCTGCCTTTTTTGCCCTTGGATCCTTTGCCCTTTCCCTTTCCTTTGTGGCCTTTGCCCTTCGCTCGAGGGGGGCTCGGCTCCGGCTCCGCCAACTGGGGCTCCTCCTCCGGGAGTTCAACCTCCTCCTGCTCGGTCTCCTCGCCTGCTGGGGGAGTGTAGGGAGTGGCGTCGCCTGCCTCTTCCTCAGCCACTTCCAAGGATGTCCCCCGGAAACGATCTGTTGACTCCCTGTTCTCACCTCCGCTCGACGACTGGTCCTGGGGGGTATGGACACTGGGCGGACTGCGGGATGGTGTCCTTGGTCGCCTGCTGCTTGGCGCCGCCTTGGGATGCAGCTCCTGGTGGCTAGATGGGGGGGATGGATCACGCCTCCTTCTCCGAGAGCCCTCACGTCTCCTCTTGCGCCTCGAACTGTCTTCTCTGTCGTATCCCCCCCGCCTCTGCCGGGGGAGTGGGGGCAAACGCTTGCCCTTGGGCTGATGCTCTTCGTTCTCTTCGGCCTCAACGTCCGGCCGTGAACCAGCCGAGGTAGCCCCTTCTCCGTCAGGGCCTTCGGAAGCAGTAGACGTAGGTGGAGCAACTGACTCTTCGACCTTCGCTTCAGTCCTCCCCACTGGTGCCTCCTCTTTCTCTTCCTTCACTCCCGGACCTCCAGGAGCTGCAGTAGTCTGTCCAGGATCGCCTCCTCCACGGTCTTCACCAGCCGGCTCAGGGGCCGACGAGGGAAGCGGTGGGCCTCCGGGCCTCGCTTCCCTATCACGCCCAGCCTCTCCAACACGGGTAGCTGAGCTGCCCTGAACCTCCAGGGCAATTTCCAACAATTGAGTATACAATCCCTCAATATATGGACGAGTGCGATCCCTCAGGAGTTGTGTAGAGTTGGCCCCGAATACCAGGGATGCAACCTTGCGGAATACCACGCACAGAGCGCACTGGCAATCCGCGGGAGGATGCGGCCCCCCCTGTCCAGGGTGGCCTCCTGGCATTGCTGAAGCCAAACACACTGCGGATGAAAGAGTTTCGGGTCCGTTTCGTTTTTACAACCGCGTACGTAACCCATATATGTCGTACCCCCCCGAGACCTACTTTTTTTGCACTTGTTCAATGGTATTTACAGTGAAAGGTCGTTTTTGTGAGGTCATTGTTTTAGAGGGATTGTGGGGGTGTCATATATATATATATGTATATATATATATGTGTGTGTATATATATATATACACATAGTGCATACTCACATGTCGAACCCCAAAAGGTGTGCAAGCACATGTTGAACTTGCAAAAATTACAAATTATGCAATGTTTCTGGATTCACGATTATGCGGAAAAGTTCTTCAATTATCTTGAATGCAAGCCCTCGATGTCGAGGTTCTGGATGTCAGTCAGGGCTGAATCTTGAATTCAGAAAGAAATGTAAATGTTGCAAAGTGTGCAAAAAGTTTCCTGAAACCATTTGAACTGCAACGCTTGAATTAAAAAATAGAATCAACATATATAACATGAAATATGACATTCTTCTTAAAGACTTGTTATTTACAAAATCGTTCAGAAATATGTTTCATATACAACTGACATCAGTTGTTCTATGTATAACATAACATGGCCTTTCCGAAAAATATCACAAGCAATTTTTTTAGGGAGGTTGAACCATATAAAATACAGTATAGACAGTGCAAAAGAGACATACCTAAGCAAGGTTATGTTCATGCCCAAGGGTTTATGGATGCCCAACATAACCAACCAGTGTAATTACAGTGGATGTGGATTTAGATTAGATATTATAAAGGATAGCATATCAACTGCATTGCTTACTGTCATAGATGTAATAGTAGCTTAAAACGTCTTTACAAAATATACAATTATATATGTTTATTGCGTAAAAAAGATCAGCAAAAAAAGCGGAAAAAAGATCAGCAAAAAAAACGTACTTAAAGAAATAGTGGGTATATATAATATATATAATATATTTTAGGTAATGGATACTACTTAACACTATTGCAAAGGATATCAGAATAACAAAGCATTAGATAGATTTACTGAAGGGTTTAAAACCTGCGACAGTTGTAGAGCCAAACAATCGATAATTATTGCAAAAATACAGAACCTAAGGACTGAAACACATAAACGCAACAACGCAGGTAAATTACCTTTTAGGATTATCTAAGTTTCAGGTGCTTCTGCAAAATGCTATCTGCTTCACAATAATTATGTCCTCCTTCCAAGCCCAAAAAGGTACAGTAGGTCTCAGGGCAGGGGGGGTAGCATGTCTTAACATAATTTGGGGATCTGTCACCACTGTCCACAAATGCCAACAACTCTGATGGAGATTGTCGTTTCGTTCCATCAAACACGTCCTCCCAAGAATGAACTCATGAATCTAATGAATCCTCAACTTGAGGACAGTGGGGACGAAAGCGAGGGGTGTGGAAGGATCAAGAGGACGCGGAGGGAGGGCAGCAACGCAACGCTTTTGTGCCACGAGCGCAAAGTGTTGTTGGCTGAGTCAACCGAACACTAAAAAAGAACTCGACTTTCATATTGTCTTTTCTAGGCATTTGGTATGCTTTCTCACAAGGATGAGGGAGGAGTCGAATAGCATCTTTCAATTCACTTTACAGGCGGGGGGCCCTCGGCTGACACCTCCCTTTAATTGAAAGAATCAATTAGTTCACCGAACCTTTCAATTTTGAGCCTCACCATATTTCGTAAACAACCACTTCCGCTGAGCTCCTTCTGAGCTCGCTTTCGTGACTTGATTCAACCTCTAGTATGGTACTCTCACCTCCCTTCATCTCTATTGTCATCACTGTGACCGGTTGCTTTTTCTCTCCCACTCTTCCACGCGTGGCCGCTCGGTTTCGGGTTCTCCGCCCAAGTCGCAAGGCCCCGACGGCTTCGGCGCTGGCGGGGGCACAAGCCTCGCAGCGAAGGCCCGTCGGGTGTGTCCAGTCCTGCAATCGTGGAAAAGTGCGCAAGGAAGAAACACAAAGGTCTAGCAACATGCACTAACATGAGTCAACATGTGTGAGGAAGAAGAACCGGAAGTGGCGACTTTGATGTTTGATGGCATACACTCCCCCAAGCAACCATGGCAGTTGATGGCATGGCCCCTTGAATCATGTTCCTCACCTTTTCCACTTCCATGTGAATGACTCCGATAGTCAAGGTCATACCGTCATGCCCAGACAATGTCTGGGGACGGCCATGCTGGCCATGCTGCGTGCGCGGTGAATCCGATAAGGGAGCAAGAATCAGTGGATTTTGTGGGCCCCTGCTACTAGTAGCTGTTAATGGCCTTGAACCTAAGAGCAATGGCCTCCAACCTAGATGATGTGGGATGTGTTTGCTCCCTTCTTGGTCAATTTGGTGCCGGGCATTCATTGACATGGAAACACATGTCGTGTGCATACATGCTGTGGTATCCTTCTTTCTCTACCGCCTTGCTCTCTTCTCTTATCCCTTTCTCTCTCCCCCTCTCCATGGCTACATAGTACAGTTGGAGAGGACCGTCGGACCGTGCAACATCGTGCAACCCCTTCACCAGTGTCCTGAAGCTCCTTGCATGCCTTGCAGGAAGTCACTGGAGAGGATTTGGTCTCCTGACTGATCTGCGGACGTGGACCATCTGAATCTGTCCAACTCTTTATCAACAGCCCGGAATCACTTTGGGACCAAGAGCTCCAAACTGGGTGCACTCTGCGTGCACAACACCTAAGCTATGAATGGATTAACAGGCACCTAAAGGCTCCTTCAAGAACTACCCGTTTGCAAGGCCTGGCATGGATGTGTGCTCCTGATTGACATCCATCATGGCATGCAAAGACCGGCCAGGAACTGGACCGAAACAATCGCTCAAAGACCCCATGGATGGTGTCATTCGACAGACCCACCAAGGGCTCACAAAGCACAAGGGTTCCCAGGATCCAGCACCCTCCTCTCGTTTCAGGCCTATACACCCACCAACCCCTAGCAGCCCTAGCAGTAGCAGTGTGGCCCCTAGCAATTTCAGGTGCGCAAATTTGGACGCTCCAAGTTTTGCAAGTCTTCAAACCCAAGTGTTCAACCATGTTCAACCCATTCACCACTATTCACCTGTGCCTTGACGCCTGATGGCATTCAAACTGGCATTGATCATTGGAACACTTCGGCCCCCAAGGCATTATGGCCTCTATATAAAGGAGCGCGGTTCAGCTTCCATGAGGACGTCGTCTAAGCAGGGCCGTCCAAAATATCTGTGTATACGATACCCTCCCTCCAACAATCACAGAAACGGAACATTGGCCCCTCTATCAAAATGCCCTTGTTGCTCTTAGATCGGGACAAAGGATTCACTTGGCCAAGGAGCAGCAGGGGCACAGCAAAGGATGGAAACATTGGAACGCCGTGCTGTCCACTTCCATGTTTGTTGCACGGGGTAGTTCTTTGAAGCCAACACCTGCCCTGGCTACGTGGCCGTCACCGGCTGCTCTCCTCCAACGCAACGCCTCCCGGCCAGGTGGCCCACTGAGGTTCGCTGGGCGCATCACTGGAGCGCAGGAAGGAGCGTAGCTCGCCTGCCTGGCGTGGGCAAGCTGATCTGAACGGGATAGGCCATGAATGGCAAGAATTGATAGGATTGTTCAACCACTGTGGTAGACAAACGCAAACCAAGAAGGTGTGGACTCGAGAAAACAATCCTGACCAAACGCATGCGCAGGTCCAAACGCAAAAACTTGCTTTGATGCCTGGCACGAACCATGTTTGTCTTCAAGAACAAGACGTATACGGCCAGAGATGTGGGTCTTTGTTGTGGCGGCAGTTGGCGGCACTTAATCACAATGCCCGGTGCCAGAACTGCAGGCACCCTCCATGTCTGAAAGACTACGATTACCATGTGTTTCTTTAAGTTCAGCTGGGTTTGCTTGGGTGCCCCCGTGGGGTTTTCTTGGGTGCCCCCGTGGGCATTGCCAGAGCCGTAGTAGTTTCAAAGGTTAAGACTGCCTGGCCCTTCTGAGGTCCTGGAAGATTGGCAGGTTGGTTGAATTTCACTTTCTCGCTGCCCGTGTTGATTCCCACAGTTCTGAATTCTTCTTCAGTTCACCGGCAGAAATCTCCAGCACCACTTTGTTGCTGCCACGCTGGTCCAACTGAACCCATCCTGACCAAACATGCTGAAACTATGTACTCTTTGGAAGGTGACCAAACAAGCTGCAAAGTGGTCGCAGCTTTGCCATGAACCATATTGAACCATCCCCTTATTCAATGGCGCCCCCGCCAGTTTGACAGCTACAAATGTTCATAGAATAAGTAACATAAGGTAACATAAGGTAACACATGTTCATACTAACTTTAGAGTGACATAAGTAACATCTGAAGATACACAAAGGGCACATGTTAAAAGTAATGGGACCAAGATCCAATGATCTTGGCTTATATAATCTTGTCCTTCATTCTCGTTTCAGCATGTTGTGATCATCATATAACTACTTTATATAACCTACATTTTGAAGCAGCCTTGTCATAGACTTGCCACAACTAGAAAAACACTAGAAACAGACCTTTTGGCAACGAACCAAGGATGTACAACCAATGAGTCCTTTTTTAACCACCTCCCCTCCAGTCCTCCTCCAGACCAGGGCAGGGAAGGTCCGGTCCGTCCCCTTCACGTCCCATGTAATTACTGAAGGCCTTGTCTGTGGCCGACATCGTCCGGTGATTTCTGTCCACCCCCCAAGTGTTTATACACTGTGACGCGTGATTTTTTCTCAATTGCATGAGGGAAGAATGACATCAGAGCATAACCAACGCCTCTTTCATAAATTGATCAAAATGACAGGACCATGGTCAGAAGATCACAGCATGTTCAAACTCATCTGGCAAACGTGGGATGAACTGGTATATGTATATATACCAACATCAAATCCACAAACCTCCTCCCAACAGCTGTTTACAAAGTGATACCCGGTTGGGTCATTCTATGTGCAAAGGTGCCTTGTTTCATAAACCATTGGGTATTGGTATGGGGATATTGAACCATATAACCATCCTAACAGGTGGAGGACAAAGCCCGCGAGGAAACGGAGGGTCAGCAACCAGCAAAAACACATCAAAACTGAAGAAAACCAAGAGACAGCCAGGGTGGTTCTTGATTTCCGGAGCAGCCCGCGAACCCAGAAAAAACATCAGCAGAAAATGGTTGTTCTTTTCGCATGTTGGAACATACCCCCTTCGGGATCCTTCGGGATTCTTCGGGCCCGCGCCTGTGGAGGGCTGCTAGCAAAGTACCTGCAGCACATCTTCAATTTGGAGGCTTGCCAGATGCCACCCTAAAATAGGGGTGTCTGCTGGCTCTCATTCTCCATCTTCCTTGCTGGCACTCACGGACGCGCAACTCGGATATCACTCAAGTAGTCCATCTTCTATAAAACAGGGTGGAGCTGCTCCTATTTATTCCTACTTCCATGTGTGTTGCAGGAAGGACTTTGGTTGGCCCAGTCCGATGGCCCGGGCACCAGCCGGGAGAGCTCCCGAAACGTGCGGAGAAGAGGATCCAGGTCTCGTCATCGCCTGCCGACGACGACGACCGCTGGAGGGCCTGCCGTCCCCGAGGGAAAAAACAACCGAAGGACATATAGATCATGACCAATAAATCCTAGGACTGTTTTTCTGGGCAAGCTGTCAACTCCAAACTATTTGGAGCATGGCCACCCCCTGTACCAGCCTGCCATGTGACGTTCTTCTTGAGTTTGATGAAGTTCAGGGCCACGTGGCCGGGTCCGGCGCCATGTCTGGATAAAACATGTTCACCCACATAATATTCACCCACATAGTCACGTAGATCTTATGTGCAGCAAAATGCAGTTGAATATGGTTGAGCATCCAAACGGGGAAGCCTCCCGGAGAAGTCAACATCTACTCCATGTTTACCTTCACCCTGGGAGGGCGGCGCAGCCATGGCCTGGCGTGGTTGCGTGGGATTTGACCTGTCCACAAACACCTCCCCGGCCAGCGGGTGGCTGCCTGGGTAGCTTCCCCCCGACCGTTACTTGGATGGCGACAATGCTGGTATCCTGGTGATGAACTTCGCTTGCCACCTGCTTTGATGAACCCCTACGGCACCTGAGTGCGGATCACACTTCCTGGCCATGCAGAGGGGCGGAGGCTTCGCTGTTTGCTCGGAGTCCTGTGAAAATCTTGGGCTAGGTTGATGGCGGGAGGCATGATGACTTTGCATGTCAGGCCCTTCAGGACCAGGACAAGTTTTGAAGCTGTTTTTCATGCCAATTCGCTTCGGGCGGCAGGACCTTCGCAGCGGCCCCGTCTGACCATGCAATGCATCGTGGCAATGCAGCTGGCGCTGGCTGCAGCGCCAGCTCCGGCTGATTCCGGCTCTCTGTTGCGGTCTCGGTCGGCTCTTTCCAGCTCTTTCCGGTCTCGGTTTGCTGTCCGACCGATGCTGGCTTCGTAGTGAAGCACGTGGATGTTGCCGAAAGCACGGCTGGTTCGAGGGTTAGCAGTGCAATTGGGTGCGTGACTTCATGTCGCAGTGATGAAGTTCGTGATGGAGACGTTCGTCTGAATCTGTGAGTTGGCGGTTTTGCTTAGTGACGTCAGTTACCATGGCTAGTGTTTTCCACAGGTTGGTGCTCCAACATTTTTTTGGAGATGCGTTGGCGCTGCGGCGCTTGAACGCTGCTTCCAGCCATCACTGTACGTGGCCCAGGCTATGGCAAAGCAAGACTGTGACTACACACACACACCATGTTTACCTTCAACCCGGTTTGGTGCTGCCATGGATGAGGGATTTACTTTGGGCCTTGATTGGTGGGATGCCAGTACTTGGATTTGATGCATAATTTGTTACAACAAATAGGCCCCATGTTGATCTTATTTTGGCGACTTAGGATGTGCAGTTTGATGGCGTTGCTCAGAAAGTGGTTTGTTCACCAAAAGTTCATTGCTCCAGCGGGGATATACAAAGCTTCAAAGGCATGCAGAGTTGCCCCAGTTCACCAAAAGTTTCCTATCGGTTGCAGTAGATGGCGTGCTCCAAAAGTGAAAGAACAAAAATCCGTCAAGGCTGTTGGGTGCTAAATCCTTCCAAGTCCAGTTGGCAACTCCAGTTCTGCAGGTGCAGGTGGTCGCTGAAACCATCACAGGATGTCTCCCGAACCGCTCGCTGCCGAACCGCGGCGCCCCGCTCGTCGAACCGGTGCCTTGTCGAAGAAAGGCCGGTCGTCCTTCGCAGCTCCCAGTTTCCACGTAGCTGCCCCGCAGCTTGGGGTGCGCGCTGCTGACCACGAGCTGCTTCGCCATGGGCGAGGTAGAAAGAAAGGATCCCCCCAACAGGTGCCGTTTGGGTAACATGCTTCAGTTTATCAAGGGATTGTGGAGGAGAGGAAATGTAAAGAGATGTCTTCCTTTTCTTGACAAAAGTCTGACTGAGGAGTTGAGCTGGCAGTTCTGTCTCAGGACGGAAAATACGTACGGCCTTGGAAGAGTCACTAGCTCTACACTCTGTGTCAACATGGAAGTGGAACCCGTACATGTTTGTAAAGCAAAATGGCCATCCGAGGGGCCATGCCATCCACTTGTATGCTGTGTGCCGGCACCGTTGACAAGCATGGCGGTCCTTGCGGATTTCTTGTGTGCTTGTGATCTTGTGGAAAACATGATGAGCAACCTTGTGCCCGCCATTACATTGTGTCTAGAGCATGGTCTAGTCAATGTGCCGTCTGCTTGAAAACATCTGGGTTATACAAACAGCACATGCGCACACACCCATCATAAGCTCCAGCATCCTACTCAGTTCCTAACCTGTAGCAGCAGCAGCAGCAGCAGCAGCAGCGGCAGCGGCAGCGGCAGCGGCAGCGGCAGCAGCAGCAACAACAACCTTGCATGAAATTGTAAGCCGGTTGCCAATGTAAAGAATGGGGACTAATGTCGGTCCCTCAAACAGGCTGTTGCTGACGACATCGATGATGGGTTGATGACATCGATGACTCCAAAGGATGCCAAAATCGATGCTCGGACGGCTCGGGTGGTTTTCATCGGCGTAGCTGACATCATCCGTCCTTCGTGCAAACCTGTCGACTAAGACTGGGCACCTTAACCCAGCGGAGTAGCTCATACCATCATTGGCTAGAGAACTATCTATGCCCATCCGAAATGGGGCTGCTGACAGGCAAGGACAACGCCCGAAGGAATCCGCTGGCAACAAGACTGTGTCCGGTGGACGGGCTGAAGCACACATGATCTGATCTAGCGTCGTTGGATGCAGCACACTCCACAATGACTGGAAAACTGGAAAACCACTTTTTGCAATAATAACGTGTCTCCCAGGTCCAAACCGAAAATATACATGGTTGATTCATGCGCGTTTTGTAGATAATCACAGCTGACAGTATCATGAATTGCCTAGGCCCAAACATGCCTCGGATTCCATGATTCTGGACAATTTCCGAGGTGGCCGCAAGCTGGCACACAGTAGTTCAGCCATTCATCTCACCAAACCCCAGTAACAAACTAGCCAAAGATAGCCTAAGCTTCTTCAGGTCTCCTCAAAACCTCCAGAAGTAAGGCATGGATGCGCCTGTCTGCAGGGGCAGAACGCCCAGGAGGGGCCCCAAAGAGAAGGGCGAAAAGGGGGTGGCGAATTGAGATCATCTCTCTGGAGTTTGGTGAGATAGCTTCAGCATGCTTCAGCGGTCCTCCCTTGGCACATCAATCTCCTGGCCACTCATCAGGCAAATAATGTGGCAACCATTGGCAACCAATCAAACTGAAACATACTCGACTCAGTTGCTTTCTCAGTGTCAATGTAGGTCAGCCTTACTCACTCAATGACTCACGTGGTTTCACCGCCTATGCCGATCACCGCCTATTTGGGCTCCTCAGCTCCATCCTTGGGCCTCAACTTGTCCTCTATTCTTCTCTTGATCTCTCCTGCAGGCGACAAAAGGCGCGCGAACCCGAACGCAGCCCACTCACCACAACGGACCACCGAGATTGATATGCGATGCGGAACCAACAACTCACAGAAGGAGACTATGGTGACATGTTGCTGGTGGCGCAATGTGCCAGCTATGTGTTCATTACAGGGGCGTGCAAATGTCTTGTGACTTGTGGGCTCACAAACCAGTGTGTCAATCCTCTGTAATTGTGCAAGGATCAAGCAAGGACCCAAATTCTTGGAGTGGAGTTCTTATCCACCCTGTCATTGAGCAATGGCAAGATCTACCTCCTCATGAGTTGGTTGTTCACATTCATAGTTGCCACCACAAAATCATATGGCCGGAAACCCTGGTTGACCTCTGAAAATTTAACAGATTCCTCTATCAGGGATGTCAACCTGCCATGGTTTGGTAGGTTTTGACTCACATATCATATGCATAATTAAGTCAAGGAACACTTCGGTCGACAGTCTCCAGTTCCCAAGGTCTACGAACTGCTCCCGTTCCCAAGGGCTGGTTGGAGGGGAGGGCGGGGCCAATTCACCACTCACCTGGTCAAAAGACCACCCCGAACTGGAACTCCTGGTTGCCGTGGTTTCAATGCGCGCGCCGTGGTTCATGGCCGAAACCAAGCTCCAACGAGTGACTTCGGCCAAGTGTCCAAAGCTAACTAGTTCAGCTGGTCCCACGCCATCATCAGTGCAGCACCTCCAAACAAAAAGCATCCGTCCGAGCAACAAACAGCAACGAAAACGGCCGTGGATTGCCAGCGATTTTCCTCTGAACCCCTCATTGGATTCCCTTTTCAATCCATCACATGGTAAGAACGGGTTCTGAGCTTCTGAGTCCCTTGCCATCGCTTCGTGGCACGTGTCGCACGTGGGTGCGGCTTGACGAAGCACTTCCATTTCAACTCTTGACTCCGAATGATCATGTCAAACTACATATGGTTCTACAATATACATACATATATCTAAATGGAGTTGTTTGTTAATCAACTTTCTATAAATATCGCATATACATCATAGACACACATTCATTACTTTGATTGTGCCAAGACTTGAGATATCTTGAGATATGTGCAGCGACGAGGTGGACCACCTCCTCGCTGCCCCGCTCCGCCTCACGGAGTTGTAGTGCTGCCCTGCGTGGTGGGTCGGATGAAACGACAGCCTCAGGGAGGCTCGAGTTGAGTTCGTGGGACCTGTGCACGCACTGAAGAGTCAATGGTTCACTGAGAGGTTTCATCTGAAACGCCGCGTTAGGTGCGCGGGTGAGGAGCGCGGATCACATCAGACTAAGTGAGTGAAAGAGTTGGCAGCCCCCAAAAAGTTACGACATATGGATCCATACTGGAATGCGTAAGGACAAGTATATAATCCCCCTATCAGCTCCCAGCTTTGACCGTTTGGAACCAAGCTGGAAGAACAAAGAATACTGCATTGCAGAATGAAAGCGAGACGTCATGGCCAAACGTTGGAGTGACCTCCCGCGGCATGGAAAGGGGATAGGTTTCCAGCCTGGGCACCCCTATACACAACTACAAGTTCTGAGTGTCTCATACGTTCTATATGGCAGCTAGGCTTGTTTTTGCTGGTTGCCACATTGTTCAGGCCAAGAAACTGCACACATCCAGCATGCTCATCAGTGGCCTGGATTTCGACTGCTGATCTAAGGATCTGGTCTGGTCGTCCAGATGCTTGCGAGGGCTGGTAGATGATCTTGGCCGGCGGAGAGAGATCAGAGGGACCACTAAGTGTCCAGACTCCAGACCACCTGATCATCAATTTACTGTTGACATCTACCTTTGACCGCTGGGGGCGCCACCTGGATCCTGTACTTGGCATCAAAAGGCTGACACGAACTTAAAAGGAGAACCCCCAAGATCTTTCTCTGGTCTGACTACGCCCAAGCCATCCAAGCCATCTGGTCTGTGGTGTAGGTGACAGAAAAAGTACGAAACGTGATTCCCTCAGGGCCACCCTCAAGTACTGAAACACCACAAAAGGATCAAGCACTCCTTCCCTAAGTGCCTCCAACTTCCATGTGACTGCTTCCTCAACCCCACTGGTGACACCTCGGTCACTTGATGAAGCGACCCACCGAGATCGAGGTCACCCGTGCCACCGGCCGCATTTCGCCGTCCCAGCGGCCGCGTTGACGCCGTTCCGCCGGGCAAGCGCCTGCACCTGGCGCCGTTCTGCGGAGGGCATCGAGGTGACATCTGGTAAAGAGGGGACACATTTTGAAGGTGAACATCAGTCTTATTAAAGAATAAAAGGGTTGAAGGAAAAGATCAGCTTATGCCCACATTGGTCCCTTAAACCAGCCCAACATGTAGCCAGATAATGGTAAATATCAGGAATCGTGATCGGTCGTGCTTGGGACCTGGGAAAGAGGACACGGGTATGTACTATGGGGGCTCCCGATCTGCAGTGGCGCCAGGTTCTGTAGTGTTGAAGATACAGTAGATGTCTGATGCCAACAGTAGCACATTGATGCACATTGAATGATCAAAGCAACTGGATTCCAATGATTTCTGTGCAGTGCGTCATCGAACATGACAACAAAAGACTCTAGAATACTGCTGCGACATCATCCATGTTCAACATGTTTAGGTTCCAAAGGTCCACCGCAGGACATGGACAATTTTTGTCATGTAGATATGAGGTAGATCACCAACTGAAATCAAAGACCAGACCGGAATCGCCTGCAAAAATCCACTTATGATCGATTCTTCCAGGCTTCCAAACAACAAACGCTGTCAAACAAACAAATCAAAAATGTCAATGATGTCATGCAAATGCAAATGAACCACATTCAGGAGCCGTCTCCTCTGGAACTCTCCGCCCTCGTTGCACACGTCAGCTCGTGCGCTCGCCCGCGCGCTCGCCCCGCGCGGGCGCGCCTCGACGTGCCCGCCCCAAGTACATCGCTGGCGCATGCGGCCTCATTCGGCCGGGAGCGGAGTGGTGCGGAGTGGTGAAGGCAGGGGACACCGAGGGATTTGTTGGGTCGGGCGTGAAAGTGGATCCGAATGGATGTCAAGGTAGGGGAAAAAGAAATTTTGCCAAAACGTTATCATAGACACCCTTGACTATAGTAAAGGTGAGACTGGATTCCTAGAAATATGCAAACATCCTGATACATTTGGGTTTTGGACATTTATGAAAGGCTGTCAGCACCATTCAGTGCTTCAAAACAGAAAGCCTATAAAATCCTGTTCGCCCATAAATCAAATCTGTGCGAAATAAGCTCAGATCTTTGTTGGATCCTCCCCTCGGAATCCTGCAGGCTCAACTCCTATTAGACTCAGTTGGACTCAGAACAGTAGAGCCCCTGTAGCAAGCCTGTAGCTTGTACATGGTCCTTTCTCACGCAACATGTTCTTCTCCCTTGAAATAGTTGCAGAATCTAGCTTCATAGGGAATGGCATTGACTTTTGCTGATGTTCTCGTATTGAGGGTCTCAAATGGCGTGTAAACATCTCGGGGAACCTTCAGGAAAAAACACACGAAGTGAGGTGTCTCATATTATGGTGAGGTAAGAGCAAGCGTATACCGACCGCAACCTAGCATAACCTGGGCCTCCAATGTATGCAAAAAGTATTGTGGTTTCGGAAGTCTTGGATGACCTAGCGTAATCTAGCGTAACCTACTATGGTGCATGCCAACCATTTAGGATCAAAGCAGCAGCTGACCCAAACAAAAGGGTATCAAACGCTCTGGGCGTCTCGAAAAGGAGGGTCTCGAATCACATTTATTGAATGCTGTTGATGTTTGGCTGCATTGCATCTTGGACAGCTTATGTGTTAAAAATCATTGACATTCTCGAATGTTAATCATTATGTCAAACATAAGAGCTTCTGGGTCACTGATCAATGTGTTTTAGAAAATTATGCAGTCCAGAACCTAAACCATTGGAGCCACCAGAAGGATTTTATACAAGAACATGTTTTTAAATGTTGTTTGTTCAATGTTGTTTTCATACAATTAAACTAATTTCCTCATGAACATCAACTGTTGGCCAGGCGCGCCTCTGCCCTATATGAGGACAGCTAGGTTTCTTATGTTGTTAACAGCGTAAATCCACCTACAGGAAAAAGAACAGCGACGGCGATATCAAACCGGTATATCATAGTGCCACGTGTACGGCAAACAGCTTTCTGTCAATAGTGTTCCCGGAGTCTGCAGGGGTTTGATATGGGTTTCATGGGTCCTGCACCGTATAGCTGTGTATCTAAGTCCCAACTGGTGAAAGTATTCCGAGTCAACTGGCGATGATCAACCCCTACCCGCAGCCCGTTGGAAAATGGCATTCCTAAGCTGCCACTCAGGCCGCTTCTCGCGTGGTTTTGGCCTTCGTGGTGTTGGTCCTGTGTAGGCCTTCGAATGTTGGACGACATTCTATCTCCCTTGCTCGCCCAAGGGAGGCGAAAATATCATATAATCTCTATTCCAGCAGGTTCTTCCCGGAAAATGTCTTTACCAATCCTATGAAAATGTCTGGCACGTGTCAGTTTTCTCAGCAATCATATTGCCAGGTTTTGCATGCCGAGCTGCTACAGTATGATTCGAACTCATCCTCAGTGGCTGCATCCAGATTCAGCCACACACAGACCAAGCAAAGTTTGGGCAGACCTAATTGGCCTCATTAATCCCTACTCAACAGGTCAAGGATCCATCAAAATCAATCCACTGTGGCTGTCTCAAGGTATTTAGCTGCCACACGGCAGTATCGCCCTAGCTGATAACTTGCTATCCCTTCGGCCCCAGCCAGAACAGCCAAACAGAGCTTAGGTTGCGGAATTCTCCCAGATTTGCCCAAGTCAAGGCCCAAAGCTACGATCTTTTTGAGCCGCTGTCCTTGGATAACTGACCTTTGAGCCCGGTTGGCCCAAGGCATCTCCTACTTGTGCGAGGGCACTTTTCGGCAGTTGTTCTGGAAGAGCGTTGTGAGAAAAAAACAAATGCATCTGATCACATCGGACATCTATCCCTGTGCGTTATGAAAACATCTAGTCTCGTCGACCCTCGACGAGCGCAATCACTTGAATCTTCAGGTTCAATTGAATGGTTTGCTAAGCAGAACAACAGCTTCTGAAATCTTCTGAATAATCCTTGAGGGTCATTTCACCTCCACTCATGCTCTGGCTCCATCCAAATTCCTGGCTCGATCCCTCATGTCAATCTGTTCAAGGTCTCCCACTCTCCCAGCCCCAAGGACTCCACGAATCGAGATCACCTTGGGTGAATCCGATGGAACTTCCCTATTGGTAGAACCTGCTGAGCTGAGCCGATGGATCTCAATGCAACAAGAAGGGGCTCGGTGACGTGTTCATGGGCTAAAGCAAGTTCCACCATTGACTGGCGCAAGCTCCAAAACTGCTTTTATGCAACTACAATTCCATGACTCACAATATGACCAGCAGAATCCATTCTTGCTTGCCTTGCAATGGCCAACGCCTAACTTCAGAACATCGAGACCTAGCCTCAGGAGTTTGTGGGCTTTGTCGCTTGACCAAGCTTTGACCTACTCCTTGAGCTCTTAATGGCGGGGCGTGTAACGTCCACCCTTCGGTTTTGGCTCAACTCTGACACCAATGTTTTTTGATTCTGGTCACAAGGAATTCCAGCTACTTGAAGAGGAAACAATTTCATCTTAAGCATTCGGCCCATGGCTGCCCCAAGAAAATGATCGAATTACTATTTTCGGAAAAGCAACCCTCAATCCCTTCTAGATATGCTTTGGGGCACACATCTGTCCTCTATCTATATATGATGATTTTTGCTGGCTCCACTATAGGACTATAAAAATGGTGGCCTTCTTTGTGGCTCTCTCATGCTCTCTAGAAGTGAATGAACTTCGGAGATTTGCACCGCGTCAGGCAGCAGTTGATCCTCACGGGGCCGAGATGTTTTCACTGAGCGCTGAGCGCTGAAGGAGAAAGCATGAACAGCTTCCATGAACTGCAGTTCAGTGGCCCTAGAGAGTTCAACCAGTCACGACGGCCCGGGTGAGAAAATATTTACAATATGTTTAAACACTCGCCATATACAGTGACAGGTGGTAGACGGTCCGGTGAGGAGTCTGGATCTTCTGACATTGCTATCACCTGTCATGATGGGCCAATTCACATGAGCACCATCGCTGCTAAGCGCGAACAGGGCGAGCATACGGCTCACTGCCTTCAGATTGTTGGTTCCAATGCTTCTCCTCCATCTCTTCCTGCACTCAAGCCCAAATGGAGATTATTATGTCAACTACCAGCACTGCTAGATGCAGAAATTAGAGGGTTGGCCCCAAGTAGATGGAAACCGTCGCCAAAACATGTTCAAACACAATTCACTGTTAAGTTATATTTGTTTTGGGGTCACTGCTCTGCTGAATGAATATAATTACAGTATATATATATATATACATACATTGTCCTCCGCAGTCATGGTTCTCTTGCCTCCGACGTGTTTCCAATCCGCCGACACCCCAACACCATCGTCTTCACCCAAGTTCGGCGGTTGAACCCAAAACTCTTCAACGATCGGCGCTACGGATCGGGCACAGGAGCAACACGTTGTCCCCTCCCTTCGTCCACGGCCAAGGGGGCCGCGCATTCGGGCCGTTCGGACGCGCGGTTCGCAGTGCGTTCTGGCACCTGATTCACGCCATGCAAGGCTTGTCTTGCCTCGGACCTGGGTGTCTGAAGACTGACATGGAAATTAGGTGAGGTTACGAAGATTAGGTTGATTAGACAGGCTCACTTCGGACATCGAAATCTCTTACAATTCCTGGACGACTTGTTACCCGCAACGTGGAACTGCGGTCTGCTTGTTCGGGGTGATGCCTCAAACACTTTCACCTCATCTCCAAGATCTCAAAACTCCGACCCCCTCAACCCACATGAACCTGGGTCACTAAAACTGGATCTCCTTCCGTGGTGGTGTAGTGGTTTGGACATGCTTTGAGCCCATGTTGGCTTTTTAGGGTCCTGATGGGTCACCTTCAGCCCAGGACACGCCAGCTTCAGCCTCTTCCAATTCTCAATGGCAGCTGGTGAAGGATGTCCAGGCACCTCTGTCCAATCCGCGGCATAGACCTTCTCCGTGTCGTCCTTGGTGCTCGGCCTCGTGTGCACCGAAGCCTCTGCATCACTGAGCTCTTTCGTGAAGATCCGATGGCTCGATGTGGACGTGGACGGGACATTGGACCAATCCAGGCTGTAAATTCCCTGACACGCGAGGGGCCAGCACGTGACGTAGAGCGTTGAACATGTTTGAGCATGTGAGTTAAACCATCCTATTACTTTTTGGATTTGAAGCGGTTCTAGGGTATTGCTCCTTCTGGCTCTGGACACTCGAGGCACCAGGCATTATTTTGATTGGCCAAGTCCGCAAAACCAGCCGAAGCCTACCGAGGGCACAGAAACAGCCCAGCCTCAGTTTGCCTTGAGCGCACATCATTCAGCAGGCCTTGCATGACCATGCCGCCATCGTACAACCGCCGGACCCTCCGCCACTTCATCCGCGCAGGAGACACCGATTCGGCCTTGCCAAGGTCAATGGACTGCACAGGTGAAGGGTGGCTAGCGTTTCCAGAACGTTCCGCATTCACGTGAACAGGCTTCTACTACTGGCTCAGACCCCTGATTTGATAGGAAAGGGCCAAAAAAATCAAAATAGAATAAAATAGAGGTCACTCAATTCTAGGTATGTCTGTCTTTGGTTGACTGCCTGAGCGGTCACAACTCTCATGTTCCGCTTGGGCCCTTTGACGTTGCACTTGGTTTCACCTTGTTTTGGAAGCCAGGGGCTAACAATGCTCACAATAGTCTGCACCAGGACCCATCTACGAGTGATTAAAACATGGTCTAAGCGATGCAAGGATGATGTAAGAAAGACCCAGGCTTGCCCCCAAACATCCCCAGTTCGCTGCTTGGTTCTGTTTCGCTCGCCCACCCCAGGGGCCACAAAGCACTGGCTGACACCCCCGCGTCCCGCGGGAAACCCGCCGGAAACCGCCGGGAAACCGCGGGAAACCCGCACCTTGTCTCGATTCCTCCTCCCATCCTCCAACAGCGTGCTGGCGGTGAGTGTCAAGCTCCGTGCTCGAGGGCCCGTCCTGGCCGTGGCCTGGCGCGCGGCGCCGGACCTTGGGACCTTCTTGGATCGAAGTTGGAAGGTTCGGACAGCTCCGGGGGCGGGGAGAACCCAGGGGGGAACGGATGATGGCGACCAGCGACTCTGAGGCTTAGCCCGGACGCTTCGAAGCTGCTTAGCTCTAACAAGCTCCTTCGGGTCACAAGATGCTAAAGACTATATAGTTATGTAACTAAGTTATGTATGTTATACAGAAGTTATACATGGTAGTGCTTCAGGAGGGCATCAGGAGATTCGTGCCGGGATGATTGACATGCTGAAGGATCATGATGGTTTCATCTAGAAGTGATTCCCGTTGGCGGCATTTTGGAGGGGTCTATACATGTCCTTGAGTCCTTGCTGGCATTAAAAAGCACCCGTTTGCCCGATGCTGCTGCACATCTAGAGGGTCCAGAACTTCCCACAACCTAGTCCAAAAGGTCTTCCCCACCCACTGAGATTGGAAAGCGGCCGTCTTTGGAAGCAAACCATCGTCTTAGAGCCGAATCAATTACAAGACTGCTTTTCGATCCCCTCAAGTCATGCAAAACGCCCTTGCCCTATGTGGCGCCTGCGGCTCACGGCCCCGGGTTTCAGTCTCGAGGTCATCGGTCTGGCTGCCCTTGGAGTTGCTGAGGGCCCGGTGCCAGGCCTTTCCGGCGTTGGGAGTCACTAGGCACGGCCAGAGAAAAGCCTTTCCAGACTGTGGGGCACCAAGGACAAGGACAAAGCCAAATGCTCCAGGGTGGTTTCAGGGGACCAGGTATGGATCTAGTCATCTAGGGCAACAAGTGAATCTTTTTCGACGCGGACAAGTCTAGTGGGCCCACAGAACTTGCATAACCTTTGCCGTTCGTTCCTACTAAGCTCTTGCTCATGGCGGTCTTTGTGAGACAAAACCTTTCTCTAGCACACTGCCTCCGCCACCGGCATGCGCAGGTCCTCCGGATGGCCACCTACAGGGCGGTGGAGTCCAAGCGGAACACCATGGGTGTCCCAAGAGGTCAGTGAAGTGGAATCCGCAACACTGCGACCTACCTGATACCCCGAAAATAGGAGATGCCGCCCCAGCCCCTGAAACCGTTCACCTTAATCTATCGCAAAGATTCCAGTCCCATGGAGTGTCTGGGTATGATTGCCTCCTGCTTTACACTCGAAGCCGTCGCGAGAGTCGTGGCGCCCTCACGGGCCCGTTGAGGGCCCTTCTGTTTTCGAAGGCTCAACGGAATCGACATGTCCATCATCTGTGTGCATGCAGCGAGGGGGTGGGAGCAAGCGGCAATGAGGATCCATATTGATCTTTTTTTGCAGATGTACGATCTATCTAAGCACTAGATAATGATTTTCTAATCAAATTTGGAAGCTAACCTAGCTTATCCTCTAGTTGACCGACTGTTAGGAACTAAGACATATAGCACCCGGGGTGCTTCCCAGGTTTTAGGATACACAAAAGTTGACTGGCGTGGAGCACCTTCCTCAACGACTCCTCACACTGTTTCATCGATTGAGGGGCACCTTGAAGTCTCAAATAAAAAGAATCACCCAAAGAATCACCAACAAACCAACATAAACTACTTTTTGGGGGGATATGTGTTTCATTCGTCTTTGATTGATGTGTTGAAAGACGATCTATCATTTGATGCTCGTGTCACACCCAGTCTCGGGCACTGTCTCACATGCTTGGCCCGAAAACGGCCAGCGGAAGACCAACAGCCTATCCTATTACGTACTAGTAACAGTGGATGATGATGGTTAGTAAAGGACTTTCTCTAAAATAGTGATACAGTAATTGTTACAAATAATAGGGCGAACCCAGGTTACAATCATTCCAGGCTTCACGAGCCCCCACCACTGGCTCTTGACATAGCATCTAGACTCAGGAGTCTCAAGATCTCTTCATCTAAGCAAGATCACCTAACATCACATTATAGGGAATCACACTTTGATGGCATCCCGCCTCTGGCACAGATTCATGGAATATCAAAGGTGTTTTGCGAGTGCCATCAGGGTGTGTTATTCCCTCGTCACGGCACTCGTCTCATGACGACCTCGTCTCGTGTTTCGCACGTCTCGCCGCTGTCAAACACCACGGGCTCCGGTTTCTGGCCCAGCCACGCATGGGTCCGGTCATCCACATTCATCCAGCCATCCGCTCCGGCGCGCGCAGACGCGCGGTGCGCGAGGTCGCCGCGCCTTCGGGACTGCCCCACCATTCATCAAGGCCAGGACATGGAGCGAGCACCTGGGGAGGCACAGAGCACCGATGGACGTGCTGAAGAACTCACTGGAGACCCTATGAGACTATAGCTAGCTCTCAGAACACTTGGAAGAGGGTAAATTGATGTAAATTAGTGAAGGGCCCGCGAAGGGCTCAGGATAACATTCCATGTTGGAAGGTGCACAGCAAAACGGAGACATTCCAACACCAACACCCCAGGCCATGCAGAGTTGTGTCACCATTCTGTTCGCTTGCGGTCCCTGGTCAGTCTGGGTTTGCAAGATCCGGAGTGAGATCATGAGATCACTCTCATTCATAGAATTTTGGTTTGAAGATAAAATGTTTAAAGCATTCTGAAGCGGTTTGGTACTTCAACACAATTTCAACGAATATCGTCTGACTTCTTCTTGGCTGACCCTTTGGAGAATGTGACGTCCCATTTAGGGCCTTATACAAGAAGTCAACTTCTGGCTTGCTGAGCTGGGTTATGTGCGCATGTTGCCTCTTGTTGCTCGGACACCAGGAGGCAACACGGACAAAGTATGGGAGAACTTGCTTAAGGCTTAAATGCCATCAACCAACAGCTGGTGAGCAACATCTCAACCGCCCTTTCCGACATGCATACGAGATTCGGATTCTCTTTCCCGGCAGCAGCAGCATTGCACTTGCCCCATGCTGCAATGAAAATGGCAAGGCTTTCTACAAACATATCTTGAGCCCGAAGCACCATCGAAGTGCATCAATTCCACAAACGTCACGCAACATGCCACACTCTTCGCAAACAAAGCCCACAATCCCACAGGGAGAAACGTTCTTTTCCCCCAATCGACTCACGATATCTCACATCCAAAAGCTTCAGACGCCTACGCCTGCGCGAACAAGTCTCACCTTGCCCAACCGTTGCCAGGGCTCGTCGATGAAGGGTTCGAAATCTCCTCTGTGTTGGACCATGAAGTCGACACACTCCTCCCTCATGCGAGCCTCATCGACTGCGAAGCTGAAACATGAGACTACGGCTGACTACGCTGAATGTGATTTCTCTCTCTCTCTCTCTGATAGGTTTTCAGGAAAATTATGGAAAATTGCGGATTCTAGGTGGTATCGTTCATGCTGTATCCGTAAGCCTCCAACAGGGTACTTTGATGGATTTCAGTCAGAAGAGCCGGACACAGGGCATATGGATAACTCTGTGGCACATTGAGTTCGACTGGCACGCACACTTCCGGCAACAAACAGCAAGGCAATGGAAACAGGAAAACCTGTAAGACGGATTTAAGATTCTGACCGAGAAGCCATGCGTTTTGCTAGAAACATCTATGCAATTCGAAGCCTATCTTGGGCCACCATACCATGATCTCAACGTCAACCAGCTCCTTCGCCGCATGTTCTTCGTTTCCAAGGTGCATGGGCATCTGGCTCATCGGCGGTCAGCTGGTCCGCGAACCTCGTGTTGGACCGGAGGGTGGTCCCGAATCCAGGCCGCACCAGGATGGATATCTGCTCGAGAAATGCCATATGAGGGACAATCCGTCTCAGTCCCTCTTGCAAAGATCAATGCCAAACAAAGCTTCATTATTTGTTTTGTTTTGAGGTTGCAGCAGCATCGAACAATCCGGTAACCTCTGTTCGTGTCCAGTGAGCGGAAGCAGTAGCAATGCTGGGGACCCCCAACGCTCTAAAAAGGCAAGCACCATCTCCTTCCACCTCCTTGACCCTCAAGCCGCAGCTTTTGAGGAGGTCTTGGTCCTGAAGCCGAAGGGCCCGTCGTCGTTGTTCCCCGAAAAAAGCTGCAGGTTTGTTGGGCCCTGTTCGCACAGATCGGGCCAAAAGACTTGAAGGATCTGAAAGGTGATCCATTGGGTAACAAGAAGCCACGAACGGGGCTCCTGGCATCGCTACTAGTAGTAAGGACGCTGCTAGGGGCTCTTGGCCTTACTACTAGGAGCAAGAGGACGCTACGAACGGAACAAGGGTTATTTACTGGTGGCAAGTGACTGAGGAGTTAGGGCTGCTAGTGTTATAGGAGTTATGCTAGGGTAACTCCTCAGTCACTGTCTGGCGGTATAAGCAACAATCACTTCCCCCGTCCCGTCGCCCAACCTTCACAGCACGGTCCGGTCCTTCTTCAATTCGCGCGCCCAACCCTCAGTGCTGGAGGTTGGGGCTGTGAAAGCGCCTCGGCGATGAGACATATGAAAGGACAGAAGGCTGAGGACGGGTGACAAACCGGTGACTAAAACCCTTCCAAATGCCAAGCAGGAAAAGGCATTTCCTGAAGATAGGTGTCACAGGCCCATTTTTCAAACTGGTGTTCATGCAGGAACCGCTGCCAGCAAAATTGAGTTTCTAGCACAAGCAAAGGTATGAAGAAAACAACATTCTGGACAAGTCGACGGTGCAGGTGTCCATGGAGTCCATGACGCCGGTTCAATCAACGAATCGCACAGCGGAAAAACCGTGGTGTTTGAGAACCCACAGTCAACAGCACTGTGCTTGAGGGTCAAAGAACCAATGGGATGAGAACTCATGGCCCCGCTGCATCAGAATAATACGACCAGGTCCTTTCTGCAAAGAAGTGTTTTGAGGAATCTTGGGTGAGGGAAAAGTCCATCGAAACTCACATGAATATCATCAATGCTCTTTGGCTTAGGTGTCACATCAATCCTGTTCACTCTCCAAAGGCATTGGCGGGCAAACATGAGGCACTTGGTTATGGAGTTCGGGGCCACCAAATCACAAACCAGAATGCGTTGGTCCATCCTTCCTCACCAATGAGGAGTCCCAATCGATATCAATACACGCAGATCGACGCATGATGCGATGGTGAAGCGATCTCACGGAACGCCCGGTGCCCTGAAACAAAGAAAAACAAATTGATACCAGGGTCAAACATACATGTGGATTTTTGATACCAGGGTCAAACATACATGTGGATTTATGCTACCCACTTCTCAAGGCGTCGAGTTGGCCCCAGTTGGCCCATGGTGGTTGTTATGTTGTTAGCTAGTTTCCGGTCTCAGTTGATAGAGTCAATGAATGCTAATAAATAGCAATAAACATAACATATAGCATGCGTACTAGTATTACAACAATATTGAAAATACACACACATATTATATATGTATATGTATAATGCAATACAATAGTAAAATATAGTAACATAGATTGTAATATAAAAATATACTGTAGTTAGTCTGCCGTCTCAGCCAGAAATGCATGTCCGCAAGTCCTTCCTGGCCAAGCCACTTCCCCCGGCAGGCCTGCACTGAAAGAACCAGGACCAACAATTAACCTCAACCATCCCCACATGAGAATCCTTAGTGGTAACCTCAACATGTATTAGATTCTTAGATATGTAAGTAAAGAAAATATAAAATACCTGGAGGTAGCTAGACTCCCCGACTAAAACGTTGGGTTGGAGAGGGAACGCCGCCTTTCCCTGTCAAACAACGGTCACATGGGTTCTAGGCATGGGGCACAGCCTTGGTCACCGAAAACTGAAAACCGATCGACATCCGATCCTGCAATGGCATGGTGCATCCTTGTTGTTCAATTAATCAAGCCACTGCTAGCGACCAAGTGGGGAACGTGAATGTAACCTTGTATAGCGGCCCCCCCCATAGAAACTAGAAGCTGCTTAGAGGATGCACTTGTCATTCATGAGTCTATCCACAATGGGCCGCAGTGGAACACGGGTTCTTGAGCTGCCGATCTCGTCAAAACCTCCCCGAGCGTTGGGGTCGTTTTTAGGAGTGTTTGGCAATGACGATAGTACCACCCCTCCCCAAGATCTACCATTTTGGGTGTTAAGCTCAGGGATGCAGAGGTTACACGCAAAAAACATCTATTATCTGTTCTACGCATGCACCTGAAGACACTCACAACACGTTTAGGGACAAACATGCGTGCAAAAAATGGGGTTCCAAAAATGATCATGACATCTTGAATCTTGGATCCACCTTACGGGATTGGCACCCTCTTGAAGTCCAAGTACTTACTGCATTTCTTGCTCAGGTCCATTCCAAACGTGGAGACTGGAACGTCGTGTGCAATCTGCAAATTGCGTCTGCAGGATCTTCTGCTCCTATCTTCCTTTCATGACAAATACCAACAATGCCAATATAAGATCTGAAAATGCCTGTGTTAGCTGCTTGAATGCTGCATCGCATCTTCTGCTCCCATGTGCTTTCCTACACCAAAATTGTGAATGCAACATCTGGACACATCATCTCACCAGTGTGTGTGTGTGTGCGTGTGTCTTAGTTGCTTGTATGTGCACGCGGCTTAGCCCAAAAATGGTAGATCATCTTTTGGGGGTAGCACACATAAATATATACAGTTTATTAAACATATACACATACATACGTATATAAACGATGATCATGTGACTTTGGGTTTAAAGTTTCAATGTCTTCTTTCCAGCCCTGGAGCGAGCCCCTACCAAAAGCGCATCGAACGGGTCGGTGGCCGGGTCCGACCCGTGGCCTCAGGGCCATGGCGGGTCCCTTGGTCACGACCGGCGTCTTCCAGGGCGGCGCATTGAAGTTCACGGGCCTTGGAACGCGTGGAACGCCGTTGGACGCGCGGAACGCCGCCGTGAAGGCGTTGGAACATGGCACGTGTGGCGTGTTTGGGGGGGGGACCTCTTGGAAAAGCATGGGGCTTCTTGAAGACCAAGACCAATCACCAAGTGGTGACATGTGAGCTCCACTTGAAGGCCTGACTCGATTTGTTTCACCAAAGCCAGGTCTCCCTGCTGGTTCAATCTTAGCATCTCAGCTGTGGCGCCCCACTGTGGGTAGCAAATGGTACCAGTTCGTGTTACCAGACTGTGGGTAGCAAACCCATCAGGGCTTGTCTCAGTGGGCAGCCCTGGCACGCTGAGCAATTGCCTAGACATGCCTGGACGATGACCTGTCCGGTCCAAAACGGGCCAAGGGGACCGAAGATTTCAGCCCTGGAAGCTGCACCAATGCTGCCATGAGTCTTCACCTTCTTCTTGGCTTTGCCTGCCAATCAATGAAAAGCAAAACAAGGCCAACACGACCATTCGAACCTTGACCGACGATTAAGCCCCACCCTTGCTCCATGTCTGCCGAAAAGTTGCACGAAGGAGCTCTGCCCTCTGCCCCTATCAATGACCAACTCAAGAGAGCAGCTACAACTGCCAGTGCCAACCCTGCAGGCAACTCATCAGAGCTCAACTTTCAGGGTTTGCAAGATGACGTTCTCCTCTTTCATCCAGTCCATCCATGCAGGTCTCTTAGATTACACCAAGGCAATCGCTGTCTCTGGTCCTAAGATTTGGGATGTACCTGCCACTGTATCGATATGATGCCTCTCAACACCCCAACCTTATCATCGCCGGACCCAGGCTAACTTTGTGAATCTTGAAAATAACAAAAAATAGAAAGCGACAAAAAGCAACTACAAAAAGCAAAGCAAAAAGAGGCAAATCCAAAAAGCAAAATAATGCAAATTTCAAGAGGAAAAAATAGAAAAACAGCAAATCCAAAAAGCAAAAAGAAAGCAAATTAAATAGCAAAAGCAAAAATAAACACATCCAAAACACAAAAACAATGCAAATGAAAAAGCAAAAAATACGCAAATGAAAAAGCGAAAGCAATTCCTTATTATTTCCTTTTGTGTTGTTTTTGGGCGTTGTTGCTTGCCCACATGTTTGTGCATGTGTTTTCTGTTTTAATGTTTTGGTTTTGTTTCATTTTTTTGCTTTTTGTTTCGCATTTTTTGCTTTTTGCTTTTTTGTTTGCTTCTTTGGATTTGCTTTTGTTTTGCTGTTTCATGTGCTTTTTTTCTTTTTGGATTTGCTTGTTGTTTTTGCTTGTGCTTTTTCATTTGTGTTGTTTCTTTTTGGATTTGCTGTTTTTTTTTTTTTTTTGCTTTTGCTTTTTGCAATTGCCTTTTTTAATTACTGTACTGTTTGGAAAAACCATCAGAGATAGCCCAAGTGGTTTTCTTAACCCCAACCCATTCCAACATATTCTTTCCCCCGCACCTTTAAAGAGCGCATCCAGCGAGGATGGGGCGCCACTGTATCCGCCGTCGTTCATCCGTCGCCTGCCAAAGGGAGGAGGGGCTTGGAAGGTTGAACTCGCTGAAGTCAGTGTCAGCACTTCTAGGTTCTTGTGCAAGTGCATGTGTTGGGTATACCGGTATACCGCATTCCCCGCAACAAAGGAACCCTGACTGATGGTTCAGTTGCAGTTGACCCCTCCCTTCAGCCGTCGCCGGACCATTTGAACCATCCCGGCGGTTTGGACCGTCTGACGCCCGACCCAGCAGGGCTGGATGGATCTAACAAGTCTGACAAGTCCCCAGCAAGGGGGCCGGAACTGAATAGACTGAATTGGACGGAGTTTGACCAACTCAATTCACATGGAGAATCAACCTGGCCAATTCCAAGTCTCATCTTCCTGGCAGGTCTTACACATACGTACAACGCGGTGGCTTCTGGTTGAAAACTGCTGAATAGCAACATCAGCGTTCAGCATTTTCCGGCCTCAAGCGTCTTAGAAGCCAGGAGCAGCTGAGCACTTCGGAGAATGCTCTGAGATCAAACGTGGGCTGCGGGGCAGGCGTGCTCATGTAGACAGGGCAGGCGTCCTCATGGACAGGGCGATTTCGTGGCCACCCGGATCGGCGCAACATCTGAGCAACACACTTGAGCACCCAACAAGGGCTATGTTGGCACCTCTGTTACTCTGCTAGGGGCTGTCCACATCTGCGAACATGAACACCAAGGCTCAGGTCTTCAAATCGTCAGGTGCGAGGGACACTGTTCGCTGCATGGGCCCAAAACACTTGGTCCCTGGTGTGTCTCCCCAAGTCGCGTCTGATTTCCATGCTGTCCTTGGCCAAGGGACCATGGAACCCCCCAAACGCCCAAAACAATTACACAAAAACACAATGTGACATGTCAACTGTCCACTGCAGTCTGATTTCCATCCGGCTGCTTCATCACCATCGAGCCTCTTACGCGGACCAAGAGTGTAGATTCCATGACTCAGGGTCCCTGCGCATGGAGGACAAAGCCTTGGCCAGAACCTGTTGCACAGAAGAATGGTTGAATCGACCACCCCCAATCAGGTGAAACGAGGGTGAGTGAATCAAGGGTATATGCATTATCTAGACAACGTACAATAGCCACGAAGCCGCCACACTTCATGCTGTTCACTCTTGTCCACACGCTTGCCATAGCTGAAAGGAATCTACAACTACTGTTAAAACTATTGTTCTTTCACAGGTCGCAAGCCATCTGTAGGGTGTGACGTGCCTTCAAATCCATTTTCAAGTGACCCATCATGAAAACCATCCTAAGTTTGTACTCAAGATTCATTCGCACAGCCCAGCTCAAAATTGCTCAGCCAGTGTATGGACAATTGTTTTCTTTGAGAGAGAAAGCCATCACTCTTGATCACATTGCAGCAAATCAACCATCCATCATCCGCACCTTTGTTCGGCAGGAGCTCTTGCACCTCATGATCACACCATGCTGCATGACTTTCGTCCTAGCATCGAACATCTGTTCAGCGATCTCCTAGGGATCTGTTCTGAAGATCCAACGGATAGACTCTTGAAACATAGTTACTCTAATCTGTATACCAGGATTGAATCCTTCGGAAATTGAGTCCTTTCATCCAAAATCATCCAAATTCACGGGATCCCTGCAGCTCTGGTCGGGCCTTTGCGTCTGCAGGCTTAAAGAGCACGCAGCCAATGACATGACATCCGTCATCCCAACATCTACCAACTACCATTTAACCCGTTCAAACTCGCTATGCAACAAGGACAGCGGCGGAAAAGCACGTCTGAACACTTCAGCATCAGCAGCATCAAGCAGAAGGAAGGAAGGATGGACGGAAGGAAGGAAGCAAGGCAGCAAGGAAGCAAGGAAGGAAGCAAGCAAGCAGAAGCAGAAGCAGAAGCAGAAGCAAAAGCAGAAGCAAGCAAAAGCAAAAGCAAGCAGAAGCAAGCAAGCAGCAGCAAGAAGCATCAGCAGCAGCAGCAGCAGTAACCACAGCAGCCTGGACATGTGATGGAATGGTCTTCTTGCAGGTCCGAACTTTCGGAAGCAAAACATCGCGCCTTGTTCGAGCCCGCCGGGTGACTGGACACTGAGGCACCCAGCCCAAATCTCGCTGGGCCGAGCAGCGTCCACCACCTGGGAGTTTCTCTCTCGGCCGAGGTGGAGTCCATCAAGGGGAGGTCCATCAGACTCACATGGAGACTGACTGACTCACACTTGTTGTCTGCTCTCTTCGGACAACCGGATGACGAGTCTAGATGAGTCCGTCTTTTCTGAAAATTGCCCTCTACCTTAAGTAAGAATCCACTCAACCGAGTCAACCGGCCATAATCATCCTCGAGCAAAATAAATATATGGGGCCCATATGGGGCATTCCTGGTAGAATTCCTTTTCACAAACTTGGATGGACCCAGCTTGCAAATACACTATGACATTCCCATTATTCCCATTATCATCACGCAAAAACTCCATGCATATGGAATAACATGTTATAAATACATATCATATAGTTATATATATGTGTGTGTGTATACAGTATACAGTACTTGTTTAATGCCGACCCCATTTCAACCACCCAGATGGATGTCGGCAAATACAGTCTTCCAGGCCGTGTCGGTCATCGAACTTCGCGTCTTTCCACTCTCAGGTCGCCCGGCCGCCAGAAGGTCCGCACGCAACGCCACGGCCGCGAGATGCGAGACATTCCGCCTCGGTGTGCGTGCGCGCGCGCGCGTGTGTGTGTGCGCGCAGGAGACATTCAGAGGAAGTAGGCAGTCAACATGTCAAGCAAGTGTCAGACTGTGCGGAAGACTCAGATCTTTTCAGGATATCTCCAGCTTTTGTGTGGTTTAACCTTCCCAAGATCGGAGCAGTGGTACTGGCCATCGTTCTAAGCGAAGACCTGAACGGTGGGGGAAAAGGCCGGTGCACAGAAGACATGATCATACATGATCCCAAGGATCCAAAGGAACACCTTAATATTCTCTATCATCATTTACAGCAAGTAATATCATGTAATATCTGTGAGGTGTGATACTCAAAGCCCTGTAGGACCTATAGGTCTAGGGTGCTCCAGCTGTAAAAGATTCGAATTCTCTTGCGGATGATTGAGAGCCCTCAAGCCGTCGAAAACCAGTGCCTGGTGGGAGCGCCCCTGGCACCTTAGCCGTCTCTCGAAGAATCGGTACACAGCAACACGCTCCACTTGATGGAGCCAACACGCTTTCGCTCGGCCTGAGGTTTTGTGCAAATGCTTCTGTTTGGCCAAGGCGAAGCAAACATGTTGAAACATGGAAGACAGCGCACGCACAAAGCGCACGCCAAACTCGCAAACCACGCATATCATCCAACAACCAACTAGAACAGGAAACCACCAGGTGACGGAAATCCACTGCCTTCACCAAGGTCCCCGGCTGCGCCAGCGGCTGCGCTTCTGCGGGATCCTGCGGAGCTTTAAGGTGATGAAGGGCACGTCCGGCATCGCCAAATGGAATGGATCCATTTGATCCAGTACATGAGTGAACGGAGGAGAGACCTTCTTTATGCAGTCCACTGGATGGGTTCGAACAATTCCAAAAGGCAGGGTTGTGCCCTTGAATCAAAATCATAGCATGACTCAGCTGCAAGGACACCCAGTGGCTGCACTTCATCTGTAATCTGCTTGCGAGTATTTCCTTGCTTTGGCTGCCGGCACCCTCAAGCCTCCTGTGATGTCCCATGCGCCACTCATTCCCTGGCCTGAGACAGGGACATGTTGATGGGAAAGGGGCCCCATCTGGCCATCAAACTGCTGAATCCTGCAGAGATGAATGCCGCTGCCAAGGAATAATTTCCATAAAAAAAATTACGCCAAATCTCATATCCCCCGTTATCCCCCTACAATTTCTTCCGAGAGGGGAGGGTTGCAGGATGCAACCATCCAGACTGGGATGGAATGTTTGGTCCGACAGCCGGCAGCGATCGGTTTCAAGGTTATGGAGTGCTTCCGTTAGCGTGACAGACTGACAGAAGCACAAAGCTTACGTCCAAAAAGTCATGAAAACACGTCTGTTCGCTCAGGTGTTCGCTCAGGTGCCATCATCGACTTGGGTGTTCAGCAGGAGGGAGAAGAAAAAGAAGGTCGGAGTTTTTCTTCCAGAAGCTGCAAAAGCTTAAAACCAAGGGCCAGTTGGCCCCGCATTGCCTTGCAGATCCTATCCTATCAACTGTACGTGGACGGGCCTCGCATATTCAAAAACACTTCCCGAGATACAGGGAATGTTGGACCAGCAAATGCAAAATGGAATCACAATGAATCACATCTTTCTGCGGTTGTGCAGGATGGTGCGATCTACAACAGCATGTGAATACCGATGGCCTGGCCTTTCCATTCATTTTAGATGGGCTCTTGCCTCAGGCAAGGCCGATAGATCATGATAGATCTACATGGTAGCAAAAGCAGCCGCTGAGACTCAAGCTCGCGAAAATCCAAAAGCCCATAAAAAGCGGATCATCTCAGCTCAACAAGCGTAGGCACAAACTCTGGGAAGCTTGGCAAAATGATTCCGCGACATATTATTCTAATGATTTCAGTCGCTCAGCTTGGGTTTGTTGAACTGAGGGCGTTTGAGCTACTATTGGAGAGGCAAGACGCTCAAGCGAAAAATCTAGAGGCCGGCTAGCCCCTGGAAAGGAGCTAAAAGCTGGCCATGAGCCAAGTTGTCCAATGCTGACCCTCAGAGAAACCCAATAGCTGGCAGCAAGTTCACACTCTCATGTGTCATCTCGTAGATGCCCTCGCAGGAACTTGGAAACTCCAAGAATGCTCGATCATGTGGATTTCACATGGTGATCACAGAAAGCACAGAAACCGTGCGGACTTCACACGGTCGATGTTCGGACTGACGGCTCCTCCAGGAAAAGCGGTCCAAAGGGCAGAATGCATAGTGTGGTCAGCACCGTGCGCAGCACTGCTGGTGCCGCGAGCTGGCCCAGGCGAGTCTTCCCCAGCAAGACCTGTCAGGTCGTTAAGGCACTTCACCAGGCACATCTTTCATGCCATGAGGATGGGCATGGGTGAGACGCGGACGGGCATCATCATGCCTTCGGTTCTTGTGATCCACATCATGCTGGCTTTGAACACCTGTTTGGGACTTGTGCGCCAACATCAACTGGCATTCACTGAACGCGCCTCAAACGCGGTGGACAGGTATTGCACCAAGAAGAAGCTCAAAACCTTCCAGGCAGCTTCTCGCTCACGCGTGTGACACAGCTTATGGTCTCCTATGACTATGCATGTAATTCATGCATGCTCACTTATATACAACATCTCACAAACATAAATAAATCACATTCATGATACTACGTTGCTACATGCATCACTCCCCACCTGCAAAGATCAAGAACACAATTGCTAAACTGATGTTTCTTAAACCAATCCCGATCTACCCCTGGTCACTCCGCAAGAGGTGGATTTGTTGGGTCGTGATGGATCTGATGAGGCCCCACATGCCTTGGGAAAATGTGGGGCCCTAGTTAGAAACAATTTCCCCGTGGCAGGGACGAGAACATTGATCAAACATGATCAACCTCTGCCTGCCTCCGTGGAACATTCGGAACATGAGGCCCAGTACGCTCCGACTCACCGTGAAAAAGGACACTCTCGTCGATGAGCCCGAAGACTCACCGACGAGAGTGCTGATCGCTTCTTTTTCCAAGGTTGAGCGGGTTGGGAGGTGACTCAAGTGAACGCCATCCACTCAGATGAGGGAACAGCAGCCCATCTCGGCTTCAATCCTTGATATAGCATTCAAACACCACGTTCAAGCTTCTTCCCGGCAGTGGGCAAGCCTTCATAGAAAACATACGGCCTTCTTCATCCTTCTACCTCCAACACCTGCACCACAAAGACATACAAAGACCACTTCAAAACCCAGCACCCGGGCCTTGCCCGCCACGTAGCGGCTGCTCTCCGGACGTGCCACGTGCAAGGTGAGCCACATGTACTCGTGAAACAGCCCGGACCTCCGAGACGTCGAAAAGGGGCGATAGGAAGGCCGACGTACCCGGAACAGGTCGGGGAAGTGCCATTTGACTTGGTCCAAAACAAATTAACAGGAGCGGGATTGAAGGAATTTTGTGGAAGGCCTCGACAAGAAAGGGTCCCGCCAAATCTTCTCTTGAGGAAGGATGTTCTCATGATTCTTAATCCGTCATCGGCAGCCCAGGATCTCATCCCAAATGAGCGCTTGGATGATCTTGGATGTCAGGAGCAATTGTTGAGGTGGCACCCAATTACAACAGGACCCATGGAAGGGACCTTCTGATCCTTCTCCAAACCAGCGTTGATACTGGAAATTCCAAAGGATTCCACTGCTTCATCACATCTCACTCTCACATGGGCCATGGATGGCCATTGGCCTCTTTTCACCCCGTTCCCGGGCCGATCGCCGATCTCTCACGACCCGAGGTGCATCGCAAAGGACAAAAGCCCGGCCAAGTTCTTCCTCATGGGTCCTGAAAAGGTTTGCGGGCGCCTGGGACTCCTAGAGCAGCCCAAAACCGAGTGAAACCAATGGACCACCCTGAGCCCACCTGGGCGGAGCTAAACCGACCTGCCAGAATCCGGCGAAAGGTCTTATTGCTGCATATTGTTGCCAACATGCAAGGCCACACGGCAAACCACCGAACACCGCCCCCGGTCAACAAACAAACCTTTACCAAATCCACAAACGTCTAGCCCAAAGGGACCCAGTTATTGTACATTCTCTCTCGCTCTCGCTCTCTCTCTCTCTACAGAGTCTGACTGAAGCTCAACCCCCCCCCCCCCAGGCACACTCCGACGGTGAAAAGGGCAAGGGCCATTCTTTGCTGCCGGTCGCGCCTTTCTCGCGCGCGACCAGGTCCTGCATTTTGGAATGGCATGAAGAAGCAGCGCTTCATTAAGCCGTGGATAATCAAGTTCCAGCGTCGGCCCCAGAAGTCCCGGATCGAGGTGGACTGGGACAGCGGCGCTCGCATGGTGACCTGCACGGTGGAGCGAGGACAACAGTGGAAGCCCCTACCGCTAGCTTTGGGTTTAAAATGCCTTAGAGTGTGCATTTGCATAAAGAATATAAAATATGTCAATTCTGCTAGGAAGTAAATTAGTAATAGTTATTTTGGTTGAGGGAGAATAGCATATAATAGCGGTATACAGTATGTTTAAGGTTTACAGTAGTTTGTTCGTCAGGTACCTTTTTCTCGTTTTGAGTCTTTTTGGGCACCCCTGACCTGCGTGTCCAGGCCCCAAAGGGCTGCGGTAATCATGCGGTGGTTGAGCATGGGCAAGGCAAGCATACAGTAGACCCAAACTGTGTGCAGGTACAGGGCTGGAATGGACCAGGGAAGTCCAAATCTGGGCAGGGCAGCTGGAGGCTCATCTAAGAATGGCTTGTAGTCTGTGGCTTTGCCAAAGCTAAGAGCTGCCAGCATGATGACTGCATGGATTGCCAGCCGCCAAGCGAAGTCTAACACGATCCGCCAGCGCTTCTTATTGATACGCTTCAACTTTCCGTCTTCAAATTGGACTTCCACGGGAATGCCTCGAACAGTCCGTCGGTCGAAGGGGCCGTCGGACAGTCGAGTCAGGTCGAGTCCAAACTTTCAAGGCGTCGGAATGTCCTTGTTGTCGTTGGGGACTCCATCCAAACACCGAAAAAGCAGTTGTGTTACGTTGTGTTACCGACTAGGGGCATGTCACGAACAAACAAATGCGTACATACACGTACACTAACTCTGAGCTCTCACTTGCCTCAGGCCACTGACCTCATCTTGGTTCACATCTCACTCACACCAAGCCGCCCATATAGGTGGCGAAGGTCCAAGCTGTGGCATCAAATCCCTTGGGCCCCAGCCCCGCCACCAACCTCGGGCTGCTGAAGGTAGAGGTCATCCCGACCGGAGATTCGGCGTCCCAACGGATTCCCTGCTCCATGTTTGATGTTGTTTGTGTGTTGGTGTGGTTGTGTGTCTGATTGTGTGTGTGTATGCAGGTGTGCAGGTGTAGTGTGTGTTTGTGTGTCTCCACTGCTGGTGGAAAATAGATGAACGAGCACCCCAATACAACCCATGTGTGGCATCAAACAGAACGTGCAAGTCTCCAAATTTCTCCAAGAACTCCTGATGAGTTTAGGGATTTTCCAGTCTCCATGGGTTTCATCTGATGCTTTCTTTGATCCTTAATTCTGAAACCTGGGAACGACGTGTAGAAACCAATCCCATACTTAGGGCTACTGTATCTTTACAATAATTAAGTAGCAGCCCCAATTAAATAGGTCGAACTATAGAACAGCATCCAGTATCCAACAAATTGGATAGAGAGGACTCTTGCCTCAATCAATTCTCTCTCTCTCTCTCTCTCCCTGGCAGCCCTGGCATGCCTCACCGTCTTTGCGGCTTCCCGCACGCCACGCTTTTTGGCGCCCAGTGGCTCCAACCAGCGGAAGGTGGAGATCACCCCGGAATAGGAGAGCACGAAATGCCCGAGCAAAGACCTCCCCACGGCGACGATGGAGCGCGGAATGTGGATGACTGAGGGAAAGAACAGTTGTCCTGCAGGCCATGCAGAACCTGCTTCAGAACCTGCTGAGTGGAGCCAAGTGGAGCCCTTTCTTGCATGGCATGTAATGCTGCCAATAGCATGTCATCATGTCGGAGGACCGAAACTGTCCATTTCGGCCTCCGACCTTGGAAGAACATGTCGGCCAAGCTAGGGAGCTCCATAGAGAGCTTCGGTTTCACTCGTCACATCTCTTCACAATCGAACCATGGACCTTAAAGACCCAAAAATTGCAGAACACCCAGACACTCCATGTATCCCATATATGCCTACATTGACCCCCTGGCACCACCCCAACTGATCGGCATCTACGGCAGTCCCATCGAGCATCTGGGACAGTTTGTTCATGTTTATTCAAGGCACTGGGTCGGTTTGAAAACGGACCGTGCCACATGGACAGGTAGGGGCCCTTGGGCCCCGCCATCGCAGGGTTTGCTCTATCCGGGGGGCTTGCACTTGTGGCTCCTTTCTAGGGCATGGTGCGATTCCAAAGAAAAAGCATGAAAAAGCTGAAGAAAGTTGGCCTCTGAAATACTGTTGGTGTCCCCATGTCGCGGGCCCCAGAGTTGCACACATCAACATGAATCAGACTTGTTGAATCCACAACAGGAAAATCAAAGATGGTATCCGGAGGTATCAGCGCCAAGCACCTGACGACGACTGGCCTCAAAGGCCCTAAGCACATGGCCAAAATGAAGGGATGCGCTGCCCAGGCGGCTCCAATGGCCATGGCCAACAAAGGTCTCAGCTCCTGCGTGCCCCCCCTGGGCGGCTCCCTACCTGGCCATATTAGGGTGATGGTGGGAACATGGGAACCTCACATAAGATTCAATTAAGAAGAGTATGTTCTTGCAAAACACCTTCTCCTACCCAAACGCTCCATGGGACTGGAAATCAAATGTCCCAAGACATTGACCCTGTTTCAACTATCAGTACCGCACTTCCCGGCTCTCCAAGCCCAGCCTGGTCCGAACAACGCCGCGTATACCACGCATTATGCGACGCCGGAGGGACGGGACAAGAGCCGGAGGTTGATGAAGGGACGCCACGAGAGGCATGAAAGAGAAGCGTAGGCACAGGCATGCATGGGCTATATATAGGCTCTCCAACGAATCCATGGTCAAAGGAAAGCTTTAGAATTCAGATGAATTTCGAATCGGCAACCCACACACACTCATCCATGTATGGCATCCATTAGGCATAAAAATGTATGTGTGAATTGTATTCCAGTCCCCTCGAGTCTGTGGGTTAGAGTTTGTCAAGTCTTCGTCCACTACGCTGCTCCAACCTGCATGTGACTAGATTCATTGGGTGTCTCCACCATCCAAGACGGGAGAACAAATGTGGAAGACGGTCCTCAAGGTACAAGTATGGGAGGAGCGATTTGTCTTGCAGCTTGCCCTGGCATCGCCAACATCGCCGCTCGTGAACAGCCGGTGTCGGCCAAGTGTGCAGCAAAAGACTTGCATTTTAGTAACTAACTTATAGACTGATGCCAATCATCGTGCATACAGGTGCAAATGAGGGATATATAGAAACGTACATACAATACACAAAATGATTCGAATATATATATATATATATATATTGACGTGACCAAGTCTGTTTCGCCTCTCTTCGCTTGGTCAGTCTGTAGATTTGGAAGGTGACATAGCCGAAGATGAAGCGTACAGGAATGCAAAGTGCAATATCCAAAAGCTGCATTTCCTAAGCTGTCCCAATGCCGAACCCCACGAAACCCCGAAAAAAAATGCCGGTGGTAGAGCTCCCCCAAATGGGAAAATCAAGATGAGCGCTCGGATGCCCGGTAAGTTTTGGGACTGAGATGACAGGATCTTTTTGGAAATCTCCACAGCGCCAAGCTTCCATCAACTCATGTGAATTCATGTGACCCGTACACATCGTGAAGCATGGCAAAATGCTTCAATGGAGTCTTGCATGTTGGCTAGCCCGTCAGTCAAGTGGGAGGGTCCCCCAAACAGGCATCATACTCATACAGGATTCAAACATTCCAGGACCATCATAACAATTTAAGGGCTCAGAGTAGATTTCAGAAAACACGCTGTGACGATGCGTTCATGCCGCCATAGCCCAAACACGACCACTGGGACCGTATTTACATGGTGGGTGGTCTCAAGGTAGGTCCCATGGAGTGATCCTGAGTGATCTGCCAAGGGCTCCATCACGCCCATGAGGTCCCCCGAGAAGACTTCAATGCCCCAGCGCGGCAGCTGGAGCTTCCAGGACATCGGGCCGACTGCAGCGAGGCCAGTTGGAGGGAGTGAATGATCTCAAGCAAAAGGTTGGCAGGGCTGCGGGGGTATTTGCATTCTGGGATGACCACCCATGGAAAAGCAGCACGGAAATCAGGCAGAAACGACGGAAGGTCAGTACAGCATGCAACCTTTGATCTGGGAGGCCACAGTTGCAAACTCCGCGCTCCAAATTGCTACAGTGTAACAAGCTGCTGTCTTGCCCAAGTAGCTGGTGTCAACATTGGCTATAGTGCAGCACTTTGGGCTTCACATTACTTCCACACATCTATGATGTGCATATCATTCCATGAATATCAATTCCCAACCTGTTGCAGGTCAGTTGCAATGAATGCACATTTCACCCCAACCAGCAGTAAAGCTACAGGGTGGCATCTTCAGCCAGTAGCCGGTCAGTTCGGCGTTTCCAATGAAGGTTGTTCAGAAACGCTGCAACCCAGGCCCACTGGCCCAAAAGGGTCCTCTTTTCATGTTGGCTGTCCCCTTCCATTCCGCCTTCCATCAGCGCGGGAACGTGTGCGTCGCCCATCGGCGCCCGATGCGAAGAGCGAGGCGGAGGCGGCACGTGGGGGACGTGGTTCAGATCACTTGAGCCGGACAGGGCGTGAGCATGCGTGAGCAGTGGAAAGCTATACATGATGAGATGCAGGTGTGGATTTCTGCGGAGACGTCTGGAATCCAGATTTGGAATCAGTTTAATCCTGATGTAGATGATTAGGAAAATTATGGTAGTTTCAGAGTATATTGGTGACACAATCCACCAAAGGTGGTTTATACATTACGTGTGTCGTAATCCATCCATTTCGACTCAATTCCTTGCTGCGCCCTTGTTCAAGAGGTTTCTCGCATCATCTACCAAATACATTCAAAAGAAGGGGTTTGGAACACCGGCTCACTCGGTGTATACAGGTCCCATACATAAAGTTTTGAGACGGGCACACTCCCACCCACAACAGCCCACGGGTGGCGGTTGCAATGAGTGTAAATCAGTAAATCTCTGTGGTTTCGAGAAGTCTCCTGAAGTGTTGGGGAGCCCTCTCATCAATTATTCCTGCAACCCAACCCCATCTGCCGACCACACCAAAAGCACGGCAACCAGACCTGCTCGTGCGGCTCATGGCCAAGCCCGTGCGGAAGGGTCCAGTAAAGTACCTTTCAAAAAGTCCTACATAGTCCTACTATGTCCTACAGCTCATTTGCTCCATATCATAGCAGTCCCATTACCAGTTGCCAAAGAAGTTCTACATGGTCCTGCTATGCTCCTGAAAAAAAAACCCTTTCTGAGATCGCTGCTTCAGGATGCTTCGGGTTCATTACAAAAGGTTCTTTTTGGTGCGAGGTGTGTAGCTGAACATCCTTTGAATCCACATCCCGAAACATGAAGATTGAAACTTGGCATGTGTCAACTCCCTGATCCGTCGGATGCCGGCTGAGCCAAAGCGAGAAACATCAGGAGCTCATGAAACGAACACTGCACAGCCTGGTGGCCCAATCCAAAGCACAACGGGAACAACTCTGCGAGGCACAAAATTTTGGCATGCACTAATTGCACTCCACGCTTTGCAGGACAGTCATCCAAAGTGTGTTCTATCCAAGAATTTCACACATGAGGTCGCTTCCAACATGGTGTTGAATAATCTGTCTCTGACAATTTCCCAGCACCCCACCACCAAAATGATTAGTTAAATAGCAGCATGATCCGCGTTTAGCATGGGAGGTGGCCTGATTGCGTCAGGTTCCTCATACAAAACATGGAGCAACACAGGCAACACACCCTTCAAATTATCATGCCAATGAAGATCAATGAAGCACGTCTCTTCGATTGATCGATTCTCCTTCGCACGATAGGTCGAAGCACCATACTTTTCTGTGGCCGACATGGAGGCAACCCAAACACGGCCCGTCACCGATGCGGTTCTTTTGTGCGCTGGTCGAACAGGGCCAACAAGTTAATCCATGGCCCAGGGCAGCCGATTGAACTCTGGGATGTCAGCACCAGTGCGCACCATCTCCCGCTCACGAGACGTGCCGTGCTCGGGCTGCTCGCGCTGCTCGCGCTGCTCGCGCTGCTACGCTTGAGGAGCGCATCGAGGAGCGGTCGCCCCCGACGTGCGGCCACGAGACCGGACGTGACCGGAGCCCGGAGCCCCCAAAAAGATTGGTCTTTGGGAAGGCTGACGGTACAACTACACACACGTCCTCTCACAACATTTCACCACTATTTGTCCTGACGGGGTCCACGTCGTAAAACATCTCAGGATGCTCACGGCAGGTGCAGCTAACCCATAAGAACCACAGCTAAACCAAATAAGCCATACATCTTGTCCACCACGGCCAATCGTTCTCGGACAATTAGACCAAAAAAGGGCTCATTACTTGGACTTCTTGAGCAACAAGAATGTGGAAAGCCACGACCAATCGACACTTTGTGACATCAAATATTTGAAGATGTCCAAGTGTCCAAAAGTAGGTCAGTCCGTAGGTCTATCTATTAAATAGAATATGCAGAGACCTGCAATTGGACAACCTTTGGGCTTTGGAGTGTGGCTTCCTGCGGAGTGGACTCATCACGTTCACCAAATCGGTCCTCTGGGCGCACAGTGCATGCCAAAGCGTTTGTACATTACAGTCAAGCCGACATTAGCCAGACTGAGCAAGCAAATTAAACACCCGGCCGCGGCCAAGGTTCCTGTCTCGCAACATTGTAAAGAGCGACAATCCCAATTCCTTTATGGGCTGTTTCATGCTGTTTCTGCTTTTATCTTATAATTTGACCCTGCTTGCTACAGGTTGTTGGTTGTTCCTGGTGTTGTTCAATTGGCCACCGAAAACGTTAAACAAACTAGAACCATCCAAATCTACGAGTGTGCTATCTTCAATAGCTGCCAAGCAATAAGCTCAAGCCAAGCCCAAAGCAACTCAAAGACACATCTCTTTTGTAAGAACTTTAGCTCATGACCTAAGCCCAACAGGCAGCTTTCGAGCGGTTTTCAAGGCGTTCCGGCCGATAAGGAGGATTCTTATTGCCAAGTGGTCACTACGAGTGCTAGGCCGGCCAATCCAAGTCCAAGCCTATCGGCACCTGATGTTCGAGAAATCCATGCAAGAGAAAACTTACGATAGTGGACATCGATTCTGAAAAACTGGAAAATAGTCCTAGAACATATAGCACTGCCAATATATTGCCAAGAGAAAATAGACCTGAAGCACTGGATGGGCAATGACAGTACTACACATCTGATCAGGCGATTCTTTATGTCCTAGTCGATGTAACAATGATGATCTTGCTGGTGGTGATGACGTTTATGTACCATTGAGAGGGAGCCTTCACCTATAAAAGTAGCAGTCTATCATAAAACTTGCACTGGCTGCTGCAGGGGGAAGGTTAGATCAAGTTAGATCCAACATTAAGATAGAGCAAGGCTGCCTGCTTCCTTGATGACGCATCATACGCGCTCCCCAAAAGTCGAATGAAACGTCTTCCTTCGCTCCCCACTGACGCTCTGAGGCCATCACTGCAATAAGGCTTTTCCTGCGGTGGAGCACCCAACTTGTTCAGTTGGGCCGACACACTGGCCGACACACATTCGAGGCCAGCCAAGGGCCCTTCATCACATGTGTTTTTTTCCGCTGGATCCTTCGTATGTGACCAGTTCGGGCCTTTCTCCCGAGTTCGGGACTGCTTTGTGAAACATGTTCAATCAGTTCATGGCTTCAGTCTCTGATCAGTCACGGTCTTCTGCAGATGTCTGCGAAACCACACCATACCACACTCGGTCACCTGCGTCCGGATGCGTAGGGGTCCTCTGCGTCCGGTGATGCCTTGATCTTTGGCGAACTTCCAGAAGGACTCTGGCACATGGCTCGCATCCTGCAGACGGACGAAGAACCTCCGAAGCAACGAACATCCGAACCATGCACGGTGGACGCCAGACCGGAATCTTCTGACCCGAAGTCCTTGGCCTGTCACAACCGTTTCATGGACATCGCTGTCATGCACAAGCGTTTCTGTTTCGCCGTGAATTTCACAACCACTCGCAGGTGTGGTTTCCGTCCCGCCCGCCCGGTCCAAAACACCATCCGAACCGTCCCAAAGCAAGCAGTAGAGCACCGTGCAAGCTGTACCTAGCGACTGGCGGAAAGGTGACATCAAAGCTATTGCATCATATTGCATCATAGTCTCTCCAAATCTCTCTAAGCTGTTCCAAGGTGCGTGACAACATCATATTAAAATATATATATATAGAATAGTTTATAGATGTAGTATGTTACAGTTTATAGGAGGATGCAGGACGAATTTCTTCACCTTTCGAGAAACTGGGGCACATTCCACGGTGGACAGGACTGCCTGACTAACAAAGAGCATCATGATGGCTGTGACAACTCCTTAGCTAACTGACACTCTGAGAACAACAAAGGTGCTCCTTCCTCAAAGTTGACCATCCATCGATAGCAATGATCTAGCACCAGGTGTGGCATATGCGTCCCTACAACCAGCCCATTCCCAGACGTTGATTGACAGGAATTGACTGCAAGCCGATGTCATGCCAAATGCACTGCCAAGAAACCAACAAGCTCGCCACTGGTTGCCTGCAGAGTTCTGGAGATGCCAGCTTGGTTTACCGATCGCTCGTGCCTCACGAAATGAACTCGTCTTTTAACCACTCCAGGTGTCCCATTGTCACGCGAACTGCCCCGGCGTCACTTGGAACACCGCCGCGGTCGCTCGTACATGTCCTCCACCCACAGAAAAACGACCCTCCGCGGCCGGTCGGTGGACGCCTGGACTTCCACCAGCAGCTTCGACAGCTCTCCACGGAGGCTCGGAAATCCCGAGGCCTTGATCGGAATGGAGGGCATGGCATGGGACCGGTCTGGAATCGATCGATCGATCAAAATATGGTGTAGGCACCTGTTTCATCCTGTCCCACTGTTCATATCTGCTCATTTTGGAAGTACATGTATCATCATGCATCTCATTATGCCATATTTAAACAAATAAATATATATATATATGTATAACTATATATATATACAGTCTGGGGGGGTAACTTTCTTGTAAAGCCAGTGCGCTGAGTGGCGCCAGGCTAGCATAAAGGATTCTAAAGTTCCAAAGGCTTCTCAAGGCATGGTACAGATCGAACAAAAACAAGCGGCGCGCTTGCGCGCCCCCACCCACACAAACGTGCCTGTCTAGCGGTGGCGCTCCCAGAACACCCTCCGGCGCCTCCAACTGGTGCAGGAGCTCCGTGGCCGGCTCCAGCCACATGCTGTGCCTGATAAGGTCGACCGCTTCGCGCGTTTCGAACAAGCCAACGTTGGGGTGCAGGTCGGTCAGGCAAGAGAAAAAGCGAAGATGAGCGAAAATTACGCCAAAGAATACGAGCAGGTTCTCCAAGATGAGCCCATGAGTTCCAAAAATATACCAAAATCAACAGCAACATGGCGTGCCGCCAGGAGAAATAGAACAATGCAAACACCTCCGGCACGATTTACGCACTGGATCGCATCTACCACCGCTGATTTTTACATTTGGGTGCCAAATTGAATCCAAATCTACCGTATTATAGGTCCTATGTTTGCACGATGACCGT